TGCTCACAATTGAAATGCTTCATATCCACCATGCTGGCTCACTTCCATGTTGCCATTGAATATCATTGATGTTTCTCTCTCCTATATGTTCTGACTTTTTTTCTAAAACAACAAGTCCACCGCCCCCAACTTGATTGCTTTCGATTTGTTGATCGACTATATTATAAAATTCCTGTTCCACAATGTGATATTCTTTGCGTTGATTCCAATCGTGAATGAATAATTTTGCATGAGAGCCGTTCAGTTGTTTCAAAACAGCATAGGCAACTTGAGGTCGAGCACGTCCATCAATGAATACAAAATCGAATTTTCTCTCGCGAAAATATACTGAGAGAAAATCTACATAATCGCGATACATTCGATATGTGCTTCGTCCGCCAGTAGCCCATAAACGATAAGCTGTGAACGAGTAGGCATTTCGTGGTACACAATATATTTCAATTTGTGATGAAGATTGAGATTGTGACGAAGCATTTTGTTCATAAGTGCTTTTAATATAGAATCCGACAGAGTTACGACCCATGTAAAAGATCTTTACAGATCGCTGTGGTTGACTAGCAGCCATACGTTCAAGTTCACGACAATAATCAAGACTATGTTCAATACTTATATAATGATCAACATAGGTACTGAAGAAAAATGTACTACTCCCAGCACCATATTCAACCATACTAATCGGTCGTTTACTAAATAGAAATTCGTTCATAGCTTCACACTGAGTTCTACATTGAATCGGAATATGCGAATGTTCAAAGTTTGTTTCGTACCTGTTTTCGTTTTTATACTCTTGGATGTATTTTACCATCAACGCTTGTTCCCTTGGATCCATCCATGCTTGGTTTGGTGGAAGTCGTGTGAATAGGAGATACACTTCCCAACAGATTCTTTTGATGATATTGAATATGAACATAAACATTCGTGCGGGAACTTTTACGACTAAGAGAGAAAGAAACAAAGAATGTGATCGCAAGTGAGACTTGTAAAACTTTTCTTCCTTTCTAAATACATCGAAAAGAAAGAAAAAAACCCATCACAACTATAGACAGTAAAAACAAATGCAAATATCTCAATCAGATTGAAAAATGAAGTGAGAGAGAGAGAAATAGTTGAATACAATATCTGTGAGAAGAAATGTGTTTCGGTTTCTTTTCTCTTTTTCATAAACACGAATGAATCAAAAAGAATGAATCAATAAAATAGGACACGAAGCGATATTTTGTAAATGCCCTTCACGTAACTTGTTAATGTATGAGTAATGATCAATACATTTCGTATTGCAATAATATACGAATAATATCGATGTATATCGATGCGAATAGAAGAGGAGGAAGACGCGTTTGCTCTCTATTCAATTCAAGTTTTACCGCCTTTCAATAAAGATACGTATAAAGTCGTGATAATGGAGAAAAATATGAGTCTTTCGTACATTTCACTTGTTTTTTTCCGATGAAAACAGAATGGATGTTTGCTTTGGCGATTTTCAATTGTTTCTTTCCATTAGCAAACAACAGCTGTGTGACGAACATGGCTTTGCATTTCTTTTCTATTTCCGAGTAAAACGAGTACTTAAAAACTAAAACTTACGAGAAAAATCTTCGCTTGCCGATAAATTTCACTCGAAAAGATCCTCTCTACAAACTTGACTTCCTATGAACTCTATTATTTTTTTTCTGTAGTAATGGATGCCACAAATATAAATAACATGGCAAGAAGAAATGTCGATTATTTTCTTCTAATAAAACGAAAGAATAAACTTTAAAATGATAGCATACTTTCTAATGAATAATAGATTTTTTCACATCTTTCCTTCTCTTTGTCAAAACTTTCATAATCCGTCCATCGTGTATCATCAAATAATAGCATAAAATAGTATTAGCTGTTGTTTTCCAGGTAGCGGAAACGATGATTGGTTCGCTCTCGCAAAGCGGATACTTTTGACAAAAACACTGAGTTTATATTAGGCACGTTGATAGAAAGAAAGAAAAGAAAGGAAAAAATGGAGAAATCTTCGGTATAATTATAGTAGACACATCGGTAGTTACTTTTTGCTTTTCAGTTCTTTTTTTCTCTTGACATGGCTGACAGTGAATATGCGTATGAGATTGTTACGAATGAAAACGATGCACGTGAATGTGCGCGTCTCATTGCCGAAGAATTCTCTGCACACAATCCTATCACATGCTTCGATCAGATCTCTCCCGGATGTTTCTACGATCACTGTTCATGGCCATTGATGAAAGATATGCTAGCCGAACACTTGTCGCTTCTTGCACGACATCGTTCAACTGGTGAAATCGTCGGAGCAACGATTGCTGGTGATTTCTTTCTAGAACATCAACGAAAACATTTACGTGATATTTCAAATATATCGTCTACGATTGCAATCGATGATTTACTTCATGAAATGGATGATCTATTTGTGGCACGAGATTTTGGACAAGAGTTGCAAAGCAATACGGTTTTACACATTCCATTTTGCGCAGTTCGATCTCAACATGGTGGAAAAGGTATCGTTACACGAATGATCCGAAATGTATGTGACAACGCACGGCAGAAACAAGGTTTTCAGTATCTTCTCGGTCAAACCACTCATCAAGCCACACGGCATGTATGGATAAAAAACCTCGGCGGAAAAGAAGTAACAATTGTCGATCCGACAACATGGATATGGAAGAAAAATGGCAAAGATTCATCATGTCCATATAAAGATTATGAAGGGGGTCCAATACCAAACATTCTTGTTAAATTGTAGACCTATGATACACATTTATACTACTCTTGCTCTTTCATACTACCGCACTTTCAATAAGTCTACTTGAGTTTTTGAAATCATGAAATTTTCTTGTAATGATTCGCTAAATTAGGAAACGTCTGTTATACCGTTTTACCTTTCGATAATTTATCTAAAATAAATACATATTTCATTTTGGTGAAGTTCCACGCACATCGAGCAAAATGAATATAAGTATTCTCTTTCTTGAGCATGTAGCGTAATTCAGCACTACATAGAACAAATGAATTTAAGAATGCTCCAGCTGAAGTGATCAGTCACGTTCGAGTCTACCTGGAAAATGCACCGAATGAAATGTCTCATGAAGAGCAAATACCTAGTAATCTAGGGTGAAGCACATTTATTCATTTATTTATTGATAGAGAAAGAAAAACAAGGTAAAGCATGAATAGAGAAAGCGTTTATAGAAAGTAAAATTTCATCCAGTCCATTTCTAAAAGAAGACCTTGAGCACTGAGATCGCGAGTAGAAAACCCAAGGTATTCTTTTGAGCACTATTACACAGATTAGTTTGACAACACCACTGTAAAGCACCAGCTGTGGTTGATGGTGTACAAGAAGCTGTTATATCCCGTACGACGCTGTTTGCCACCACCGTTTTCTAAGTTACGAAGACATCGATAAACTCCATCGATGAATAATAACATCCTTACCCGGCAATAATAACTCGTATCATTTTGATATAATACACCAACATACGTCGGATTGAATGGGTCGTTACAATTGCTACATGTGTAGCATACGATACCATTGGTGACTTGATTCCATGCTAGAATTAGTGTTGAACTGAGTTATTTCTATAGTTGAAGTCTTGCGAATACTTACTGAATAGAATACAGCAAATGAGAGATATTGATGAAAATGAAAACATGTGTATTTGTTGAGAGAGCGGAATGAAGAAATGAGAGTGGATAAAGCTATGCCGAGATATAAAAATAAAACGATGAGAAGATATTTCTCATCCATACGATCGTTTTCGATTGATGATGTGAAAAATATGTGTCATGAAAATGTTAGATAGGTTTTTATGCCGTGCACGTATTTTTTATTTTTATTTAGAGAATATCACTGGAATCGACTGACACCGAACACCATGATTAGAATCAAGTCGACGCATGTCCCTTATTCGATGGATAACAATCATTCTATCGATTAACTGGTAAATCAAAAGTTTTTCTTACAAAAAAGTTCGTTTGATTTCGTTTTTGGACTCAATCAATCGTAAATGTCCTTTTAACAATATGCAAATCGCGAGATTTATAAAAGATCAAACAAGAAATTTGACGATATGTGAATATGCTAATACATTTCGATTCGCGATGTTTGTCGTAACCTTGAATTCTATCACTTCATTTATTGAATTAAGCGTTGTTACAATTTTACATATACTAAACATAGTCATATTGGACAATATATTCTGGATATGACTGATACGGATTAAATATGCAAAACATATCATTCATCGCATCATCCCTATGAAACACCGAATGAAAATCTTGCGGAATTGATTTCAGTCCAAAGCCGCCTTTTACTGAATTGCCGAGAAGAACTCGACAAACAAATAATTCTCGTCGATGAGCAGTTCGCTTCAACACATATGGATCATTGTTCGAATAAGATGCGTTGACGGCGAAATAGACACCGTCACCAATAGAACCGTTTGGACAGAAACTATGATAGAATCCATGATGGATGATAAGTTTCTGTTGCGTTGGTGACGATGTTCCGTGAATAAGATGCTGAATATTATTTGGAATAGTTTTATGTAGTTCTTGAAAGATGTGCCAAAGTCGAAGATTTTGAATACGTGTTATCGAATGAATAACCACGACCGTCTTCTGGAGAGATTTCGAAAAGTATTTCGACAGATCATGAAATTCCTGCGACGCTCGTGGAAGAGATATCAACTGAACTGGTGCTTCATTCAACGACATCGCAATCCAATTCGACGGGCATGATGCAGAAGAATTGGAATTCGCTAAAATCCGTATGTTCCATTCTTGATTTAAAGTGTCCCAAACTGAATTATCGACCAAAGGCGTTCCTTTCGCATGCATTTGTGCTAAAAAGTCAACCAAGTTTTTCAATTCCTTTTCCGTTTTCTTCATCGCAAAACTATACGGATCAGCTTTTAACTGCGTGGCTTCGTAATTAACACTATCCAGCACTTTATCGTAGATCTCATTCGAAACGATAGACTGTCCGTTCTTCCATGCGGTACTCAGCTCTTCTTCTAATTGATAGAGGTCATTCAATTGTAAACCATTTAAGTATTCGAAACCCGCAGCTTTTAGCTTCGCTCCATGCATTCTTGTTTTGTTGTAAAAATAACCCAGTTTACACAGATTTATATTTGCCAACGGACGAAGAAAAACAAAGTCAAAACGTATTACACGCTGCTTGTGAAAGAGAGGTAAATATAGACTGTGCTTCGACCAAAAGCAACACACAATTGTGTTAAGGAAAGATTTGCTATTTCGTTTTCATATTTATTTATTTCAGTGAAGATAAAAATATAAAGAGAAAAAAAATGCAGTACATATAAAGCGAACTCCTAATCATCTGTTCACAAATTTGTTTTGTATTTGAGCTGAGTATTATGAATGAAGTAAAAGCAGAGGGTTTGTTATTCTTTTAAAATCGCCGATAGTTATTGTTATTGTTATTTCCCCATTCATCAAGTTGATCCATTTGTGTGTCAACGGAGCCAAGTAAAGCTTTGGCAACGTAATCTCCAAATGAAAATGGAAAATTCGGTCCACGTGTGCGACGAATTTCTTCTCGTTCACTCTTATAATCATCAACAACATCTACATTCATCATATTACGATCCCATTGTGATAAATAGGATACGCTGGATTCGTCATCGGTACACGCAAGAAATGTTACATAGGTTGTGTTTGCTTGACGTTCATTGCGCATCAAATTTTCTAAACTTTGTATGTCAACATTACCATTGGCATCGGTTGGTGCGCCATCAGTTGCAACGAAGACAAGTAGACGCTTGTCACTACCAGGTTTGCTTGCTGCTGATTGAAATATACGGCGTAGAGCTGATGTCAGCGGTGTTAGACCACTGGGGCGTTCACTGAAAGATTCAATAACTTGTCGAGTATCGGTTACGTTCAGCATAGGTCGACGGTTGAGAAAGTGAACATCGACACCATTCGAATCGAATACAGTACCGATTTCAATAACGATTTGTACAATAGATCGTAGTTCATCCCATCGTGTGCCGTTCGTTCCGTCAACTGGCGTATTCATAGAACCGGAATCGTCACAAAGAACGACAATTTCGAATTGTTGAAGAATATTCAGTCGCTGAGCCAGTTGATCACCGATTTCATATCGACCTGCTATCGCACGAAGACGTTCATTCACTAAATAATTTCAATTGGTATTTTACGTCTTATTTTTCAATGACTTCTATAGAATAAAGCTTACTTTGTCCTGGTCCTCCATATGAATTAGCATTATATCCCGGACCTACACATAAAAATCGTATTCGTATAAGATACACTACAGCTAATCAGAAATAACCACTAGCCTTGTGGTGGATAAGCATTATAGGGACTTTGATATGGTTGTTGTTGTTGTTGTTGCTGTTGGTTATAAGGTGAATAGCCTCCATAACCGCCTATTACACAATCAAGCGTGAGTTAGATAGAGCATTAGTTTACAATCCATGTCTTTCGAGTGCAAGCAGAATCGAATCTACTAGCAGGAGAAAGATGGTTTACCTTGATTTTGTTGTGGGTTAGCATTATATGGACTTTGATATGGTGGTGGTGGTGGTGGTTGTTGTTGTTGTTGTGGAGGATAGCCACCTACAAATGATCATTATTTATAGGAGAAACGTTAATAAATTGTGGTTTACCTTGTTGAGGACCGTATGGATTTTGATAATTAGAATTACCTAAAGAAGTACTTAGGTTTTCTTTCACTTGATATTTTATTTTTGTTACCTTGCTGAGGAAGATAGGGATTCGATGGTCGATAGGGATTCTGATTGTTCGGAAAACCTACAAAATATTTAAAAGCATTATTTTCAATTATATAAATCAATTATTACCTTGCTGTGGTGGATAGGAGTTTGATGGGCCATATGGATTTTGATAGCCGCTATTACCTAGAATAAATTGCATTTAGATAGAAGTTCTTTTTCAAACATTGAACGAACTTGGTGGTGGCTGATTATTACCAGGGAATCCAGATGGTTGATTAGAATTCGAATATGGATTCGATTGAGGCGGATACGGTCCTTGTTGATAACCACCACCTCCTGAAAGAAATAAAACAGATATTGAACATTTATCTAATGATAACTAATTTGGCTAGCCTTGCTGAGGCGGTGGTTGTTGTCCAACTTGTGGAAGAGAGTAAGACGAAAAATTGCCTTGTTTCGGTGGTTGATTATTTGATCCATAAGGATTGTTATAAGGTGGCAATGATGCCTGAGGACCTGATGGGTACGGTGGTTGTTGATTTGATGGTTGTGCCATCATACTGGAGAATCCAATAGGTTGTGATCCACCTGTATTTCCTAACGCCGAAGGATTTGATGACGATGGTGGTTGTGGTGGTGCTGATGGTTGTGGATTGCCTTGACCAATATTTGGATACATAGTCAACTTTCACGTATCAATTGTTTAAGAATAATTTTATGAATAAGACGCACTCAATACTTTTATATTTTTGATACAGCTTGCGTTGTTGTTTTTCTTCTTTTCTGCCTTCATTATGACTCATCTCTCTCTCTTCAGTTTATTTAGCAAGGCCGTCAGTATTAAAGAAAGGAAAAACGAACGAGAAAAGAAGAGGAAGGAGAGGCAAATAATGACGACGAGGTAGAACATTATTGTCATAGTAACCAATAAGAAATTTTAGATGTAACAAGAATAATCATGACGCATGTGCTTCATACGTCAGTGGTTTGCATAACATGATAAAGCCTTCTGTCCCTCGTAACGAGCATCCCCACTGACGTCAGTTTCATAGGACGTATTGCTCATATTGGAAGGATGTGAGTGGCAATAAGCATTCGAATTGAAAGTTAAAACATATAGTATCGTTTCATATTCATATTTTATTATGAATATAACAAAAACAAAACAAAACAATGAATTAATCATCATCATCACTATTATCTTGAACACTTGCCATCAGATCATCTTGTAAGACATTCCATCTGACTGGTGTTGTGGCTGTTGTTGTTGTTGATTCAATCTACAAACAGATACACTCTTAATATGTTCTGCTCACAAAAGCACATTCTCTTTTACCTTCGATGGATTCTTCTTCATTATTTTGCATGAAACCTCATCCGAATCAATTGTCTTAAGCATATCAAGAAACTCTCCTTTGTTGATCGTCGTGTCTTTTTTCTCTTTCTTTGACGATGAACGATGCTGTTGTTGCTGTTGTTTTCGAACAGTGTTGAACAACTGAACAATACCACGTGTCGCAACTCGTTGTAAAGCCTTTTCGAAATCTCGACCACGTGTTATATCAAATGATTCGTAATTCATTGCGTCCCATTCGCGTCGCTAGAAAAAAAGAAAGTTAAGTATCGACTTGTTCGCAACATTTTCACATAGTTTACTCGACGTTTTTTCGTTCGTTCGCTAAATGTTGGTTTGGGTTCCCTGTCCTGTATTTGATCAGCTTTCTTTTCCTTCTTTTTTGGATCTACTCGTTCGACAATTTGACCACTTTCGCCAACGATTTCGAAGACATTTTTCGGTAAAGTCTTCTTGGGCTGTTTCTTCTTTTTCTTTATTTTCAACGACTCTCCTTCGAGTTTCATCTGAAAAGAAAAATTGATCGAAACTGAGCATTTTATATATAGGACATTTTCCGCAAAGAAAGAGAATGAGAAGAAGAAAAAAAAGAACATTCGTTGAACGGATTTAAAAAGCACTAGTTTTTCTTTTGAAATTTCAATGAAGCCGAGTTAACGCAATGACGCTGTTGAACTAATTTGCCATTACTATCGCGCAGACCTTCACCTTCGAATACATGACCTAAATGTCCATCGCAATTGCCACAGAGAATTTCTTCTCGATGACCATCGGCATCTTTTTGTCGTCGAACTGCTGTGCCTAATGACGAACTAAATGCTGGCCATCCACAATGTGAATTGAATTTGGACGATGAACTAATCATTGGTATATCAGAATGAGAATAGACATAAATCTCTATCGACTTACTCGTAAAGATCTTGACCACAGCCAGAACATTTGTAAACGCCTTCTTCGAAATGTTTGTCATATGCACCGGTTCCCGGATACTCGGTGTCTTTTTTTCGTAGTATACGATATTGTTCAGGCGTTAGTTTAGCTTTCCATTCTGCATCGGTCAGATTCATCGGAGGTAATTGTTGCTGTTGTCTATCGTTTGAGGATGCAGACATGCTTTATCTGAAAAAGATTATTTGATTAGATGAAAATATGGAATTACAAAAATCACGAGTCAATTAGGCGTACGAAATGCAGAATTACAATCAACGTTGTCGAACATATCCTTTGAGTATCATCAATGAAGGAAAACCTAGAATGAATGTTTGTATCATCCATAAGAAAGTCGATTGTTGGTCAAGACGAAGTTGTTGACAAATTCGACGAGCAACAACTGCTTCATAGATATGAGCAATCACCGTTGACCAAAATACAACGACAAAAAGAGTACGATAGGTTACAATCAACGAAGAGAGGAAACTACCGAGACCTCCTAAACTGTGCAAAGGTAACAGCGATGGAAGATGCGCTAAAAGAAACACAATGGTAATTCCACTACCAATAATGATCCACCAAAGGAGATGAGGCGATTGAAAACGATTAGCCATCTGAAATGATCAAGTGAGAGACATTAAACAATAGCTTTATAATTTGTTCGAATATAGACGTTAGTTTGAATATGAATAGAGTTAATTGGGTAGAGAAATAAATTAATTAATAAGGAAATCTTTCGGAAAAGTTTTATTTACCATTTACGCTGATTTGCGTTTTTCAGCTTCGTATCGTCTCAGTTTACCTAACGAAGGATAACCTAATAGTAGAGTTTGTCGACACCATCGCCAGGTATTCTCCGAGTCAATATTTAAACGTTTACATATGCGCCAGGCTATTGTCGCTTCGAACACATGTAGAAACACTGAGACCCAAAATATCCATACAAGTAGAGTGTGATGATTGTATGCTAGATACTTGAGGAATGTACCTAGGAAACCCAGTGCATCGTAGGATACAATATGTCGCCAAAATGTTAAGATAGTTAAGACCAGAAGACCACCGTCACAAGGTATGTACCATAATGGATTCGCCGACTGATAGAAATGATCGGTCATCTGAAAGAATAGTTTTTACAATGTTAATAACAAGACCAAAGATAACAGCTATAACTAGGAACAAGAGAAAACGAAAATAGCTGATAACAAAAACAATAACAACAAGAAGAAATATCAGCTGATATCTGTGTGTGTAGACATGCTCCTGCATAAGAGACTTTCTATCGAACACGATCTGTATTTCGATAACTGCAATTATCACGTAATGAATCATTATGAGTTTTGTATTCCATCGGACCTGAAGAATACGAAATTAATCGTCGTTGAATTATTTATTGTCGAAACTTACAATCTTGTGGTAGATTAAGTACTTTCTTCATTGTTTCTTTAATTCTTTGTGTAACTGTTTGATTGTTTGCCGTTTTTGTCCAGATACTAATCAGATCTTCTTGTGGTCGAATCGAACAAACAATACCACAGATTTCCTTTCCGACACTAAATTGTTCACCGATAACAGCCAAAACAAGTAATTCCCAGAGACGCGTTGATAGACCTTTCTTCAATCGTAAAATCCATTTTCCACCAAGACGATTGCCTTCTTCTTCCCACATTGGCTTGAGATTTTCTTTAAACAAGTGGACATCACTGAAATACGAGAAGACGACAAGTTCAATCGCAAATGATAATGATGATCCTACCTGTAGAGTGGAAGATCGGCTGGAAACTTCATATGATCATAGTAGCACCAGAATTCTTCTATTGAACCAAATGTGCCTGTGTGAACAAGACGAAGTCATTCAAAAAAACAGCGTCAAAATCACGTTGCGAAAACAAACCGAGTTTTTTCAGACAAGAATCATAATTAACTGCACTATTGCGAAACGTCGTTGGTCGATGTGTGTACCAGAATGTCCAACGGCCTTCCAGTAAATGGAAAGGACTATCACTATTACTAATATTATTGACATCTTTTGTTGGTGAAGAGGTATTTTCCGTTTTATCTGTTGTCTCCAAGGCAATTTCTTCATCACTGGCAGCATTGTTTATGGAAGTAGTTGTTGTCATTGTTTTTGTTACAAAAAATTAGAGTTCAACTGTAGAGTAGAAGCAAATTAAAATGAAACGGTGGAAGATGAAGCAATAGGGATAAAATTCAAACGTTTACAATTGGTGAACTGCTTTCAACCATTTACAAAGAAGGAGGTTTTATCGTATTATTTCTCACACGACATCTGTTGAGTAAACGAATGTTTTTTCTCTGTATAATTTATTGAAGATTCTGAAAATGAACAAAAACAAGTGTTAAAGAAAAAGCTTTGTTGTGATTAAAATAAGTATTAAATGAGCAAAACGATAACTCAAATAAAATTAAAGCATAAAATGTACGTATATGAATAAAGTAAAGAGGATTAATAACCGTAGAGTTCAACTTCACTATATGAAACGTAAGGACTGCTTGCTCTCTTGGTAACAACGGTAAAGCGATAACCAGGAAGTGCCTTCGGTGACGAGATATATACAAAATTACCAAACGAAGAACGATTTGAAATGCTTGCTACACCTGCCGTACCAGAATAGAGAGGTGTCCAACTACTGCAATTCAATGCACTGACACAATCAGTTCCTTCTACTATAACGTACGACGGATCGGCGCTAGCTATCACACCGGGAGCAAATCGAAATTTGCTCAGCGTCGTCTGACAGCGAGTAATAGTAAAAAAGAAACCTGTGTTCAAACCAGCATCGCTGTCTGATCCTGTATCATTGTAACCACCCCGGCTTGAATAGCTGGTATTGAAGTTTTTATCGAATAATTTATCAGCTCCCTGACCCGTTACGTATGTTCCAATACCCGATGCAGCTTCTGTAGCAAGCGAGCTCGTTCCACCTATTTCTGTTCCCCACAGAGGTTCTAATGATCCTGGTTTGAGCGTTAGCAGCACCGATGAATCTACACGAAACGGACAATCAAACTCTTCTGTTTCCTCTCTCTCCGCAATATATCACTTACTTGCTGATCCATTTGCTGCAGTTCCTGTGTAATTTGTATATCCAAATAGTTGAACTTCACTGTAACTAACAAGATTACTTGCACCTCGCTTACTTGTTATCAAAAAGCGGTAGCTACTGTAAATAGCCGTGTTGGAGACCGGTTGATATTCCCCGTACGTTGCACTTGCAGCTCGCAAATCGAGACCCGATGATCCATTATATAGTGATGTCCAGTTAGCACAAGACGAAAGAGTATCACAACTAGTTCCTTCAATGGTGATAGTCAGCGGATCGCTCTGTGTAGTGTCGTTAGCACAGGCAAACCGAAATCCGATGAGTACAGGTTGACATTGTGATACAGTGACATAGAAGCCGGTATGGACACCAGCGACAGTATCATTGCTGGTAGAATTGCCATAACTACTGAATTCCGATGTGAGATTGCCGTCAAACAGATTACTAACTGGGTTGGTCGAAGGATAAGTACCAGCAGATGAACCTTGCGTTGCCAACGTACTGACTCCTCCCATGAATGTATTCCACAAGGGCTGGGCCGTGTCCGGTAAAACATCCAATTGCGTTGGCAAAACTAAACACGACTACAGATAGGGAAAGTATATACATTTTTCAAAAACTCACCAATGGTTGTGGTTGTCGTAGTACTTGTGCTCGATGTTGACGATGAGGTTGATGACGTCGACGTTGACGAAGTGGACGATGATGATGTGGATGTGGACGTTGTCGAAGTGGAACTAGTTGACGTGGAGCTGGTGCTACTGCTCGTGCTCGACGTAGAAGTCGAGCTGGTCGATGTTGATGTGGTACTTGTGCTGGACGTTGATGTTGACGAAGTTGATGTCGAACTTGTAGTTGATGTGGAAGTGGACGAGCTGGATGTGGAAGTGGATGTGGTTGAGGTAGAGCTTGATGTGCTTGATGACGAGCTGGTACTTGTACTGGACGTCGATGTTGACGAAGTTGAAGTTGATGAAGTCGATGTCGAACTAGTGCTACTGCTGGTGCTTGACGTAGAAGTCGAACTGGTGGATGTTGACGTCGACGAAGTTGAAGTTGATGAAGTCGATGTCGAACTAGTGCTACTGCTAGTGCTCGACGTAGAAGTCGAACTGGTGGATGTTGATGTCGACGAAGTTGAAGTTGATGAAGTCGATGTCGAGCTGGTACTTGACGTAGAACTGGAGGAGCTGGATGATGAAGTGGACGTGGTTGAGGTAGAGCTTGAACTGGTGGACGTCGAGCTAGTACTTGTACTGGATGTTGACGTGGTTGCAGTTGATGTAGTGCTCGTAGTTGTGGTTGAAGTTGTCGAACTGGTCGAAGAGGTGGACGTGGTTGAAGTAGAACTTGTGCTAGTTGATGTCGAACTGGTGCTGGTGCTGGAGGTCGACGTGGTCGCAGTTGATGTAGTGCTCGTAGTTGTGGTTGAAGTTGTTGAACTGGTCGAAGAGGTGGACGTGGTTGAAGTAGAACTTGTGCTAGTTGATGTCGAACTAGTGCTGGTGCTGGAGGTCGACGTCGTTGCCGTTGTTGAGGTGGTACTAGTGCTGGTGGTCGACGTAGAAGTTGAAGTAGTCGAAGTTGTCGAAGTTGTCGAGGTAGTACTAGTGCTGGTGGTCGACGTAGAAGTTGAAGTAGTTGACGTTGTCGAAGTTGTCGAGGTAGTACTAGTGCTTGTGCTGGATGTGGACGTCGACGATGTTGAGCTGGTGGAGCTCGTTGAAGTGCTGGTGGTGCTGGTGCTGGATGTGGATGTTGATGAAGTTGATGATGTCGACGTGGTGGAAGTACTAGTAGTGCTTGTGCTGGACGTCGATGTTGTTGACGTACTGCTGGTACTTGAGGTGGATGTGGATGTAGTTGCAGTTGTGGTCGTCGCAGTAGTTGTGGTAGACGTGGTGCTGGTAGTTGTTGTTGAAGTAGTATAGTGATCGTGACTTACGAGGATTGGCACTAAGAGTGTAATCGTAAATACAACCATACCAAATACACCGACGAGACCCAGGAGTACTTTTGCTCGTCGACTCCTAATATAAAGAAAAACAAGAATAGATCCAGGCATGATTACTAGTACTCACCATCCTGCATGAGTTACTGGGACCAAATGATTTGGACTGACCGATGGATTCATTGGAGCAAGATTGATTTCTTCAGCACCTGGCATAAATATATACGCAGTATTGTCTGCAAAGAAATACAGACATAATATTGTGTTTTCCTCTTCTTCTCAAAAACAAAAGAGCGGTATCTCAGAAACGACAAGAAGCAATTCTCTTTACCATCATTCACTTAAAATCTTTTTTTTTCTCTCTCTCTCTCTCAGAAGAATAAATAATTATGTTCAGATGATAAACGAGTTTCTTTTGTCGCTAGGAGAAAAAGTTTCACAAGTATGTTTTCGTTGCTAACTGAATTAACCGACGTAACTTCTGATATGAGAGGACGTACCTTTCAGTGAATTGTTTTTCTCTTTTCCAACTCACACGTCAGCATATTACATCTATAGAAGAAGAAAGAACATTTGAAAATATCATAATTTACTAAGTGTGTTATTTGCTTGTCCTAGTCGTTCATCTAAATAAATGGAAAAGTGTTTGAAGGAAAGTATTCTACGTTAGAAGGTGTTGATAAGCACTTTATTCAAAATAAAGCTTTCGCTTATATTTACTAAAACATTATCAAAGCAAATCTCATCTACTTTAATTATATCCGTTAGAAATTATGAAAAAATGATGTTTTGTCGTTGTTCTTAATAAGAAACAATCGAAGTCCACAGACAACTAACCATCTCGTTTAACAAGAGGACTACTGCTAATTGGAAGGTAGAGCACCTAATATACTGAAATAGAATATTTCCACATCGATGTGTCTCTTCTTTCTCTGTCTCTTTTCAAACATTTTTCCTGTTTACAAAAAAAACAAAAGTCGTTGCTAAAAAACATTCTCTCAAATGAATTCATACGAATAAAAATAATTTGTTGTCAACGTAAAACCTTTGCGACGTCGTACTGCTAAATTTGTCTGAAAGAGACGCATGAAATCCTCACGGCTTTACATCAAACAAGATAGGAATGACAGGAGTTTCTGTAGAACGCGTTTTCTTAATTAAAACAATAATAACAGCAGACGGAGTTTTCCAAGAATGGTAAAACTACACTATCTTTTCCAATTATTTCACAGTTATCAATTTAAGAACACCGATATGAAGAATATCATCTAATTGCTATACAACTAACGAATTCATCGTAACTCGTTCTAGTTTCTTCTATCTACTCCAAGATGATTAGTGCCATTGCAGAAAATTGATAATGAAAAGTGTTTCCTTCAAACACATTTGTTTAATTGAAATAGAAGCTCGTTTCTAACGATATTTTCTTGAAAAAAAAAACATTGTAAAAATGAAACTTCGCAATATCTATAATTATAGATGTGTTTTTTCTTTTTTCTTCTAAAAGAAAAATAATCATCGCAGAAAGACAAACGGAACTCTTCCTCTCTTTTTGTGTCAGTCCATATCAAAGGAAGTAGCTATTGCACGTCAAAGTCGCATATTAGTTTTTATGTTACACTCCCGTCTCGTTCGGTTTGTCTGACAACTCACATTGTCTTTTATGAATCCATTCACTAAGAATAAAAAGAGAAAAAACTATCCTTTAAAAACATAATGATATCTTATAATATTAGTTAATTGTAATTATTTCTTTGTAACATGTAAAGTTGATTTATCACATTCATCTTGATGATATATGATGATGTATGACTGCTTTTCTTCAAGTTTATTAAGAATTAAGAAAACAAGTGTTCGAGTAGGCAATGCAGTGAGAATAAATGGTCAGGAAGCGAAACAAAAAAGCTTGAAATGTTTATGTATAAGATTAGGATTTAAAAAACATTTTTTTATAACTATTCATCATAGTTATCGAATTGCTAATTCAAAAGGATAAAAACCATTAATAACCGTAAAGATCAACTTCACTATATGATACATAAGGACTGCTGCCCTTTTTACCCATAATAGTGAAACGATAACTTGGGTACGCATGGGGCGAAGATATGATTTGCCAATCACCGTATGTACTACGGTTGGCAATAGATAATAATCCAGTCGGACCATCATATATGAGTGCCCAGTCGGTACAGTTCAATGCAGTAGTACAACTCGTTCCTTCTACAGTGACGTTAGTCGGATCGGCAGAGGCACCCGCTATACCCGTAGCAAATCGAAATTTGCTCAGTGTTGTTTGACAACGTGCAATGGTGAAAAAGAAACCCGTGTTCAGACCAGCATACTTATTCGATGCGTTTGAATAACCACGACTTGTATATCTCGAGGTAGTATCGCCGTCAAATAACTTGTCCGGCCCTTGATTATTGCTATATACTCCCACACCCGATGAACCTTGGGTTGCGAGTAAACTTGGTTGGTTTAGTGTCGAATTCCATAAAGCTTCTATTGATCCTGACTTGATTGTTAGCGGTACCGACGAATCTACACACAACAGATACTCCAATTCTTCACTTTTTTTTCTCTCCAAAATCTATCACTTACTTGCTGATCCACTCGATGAACTTCCTGTGTAATTCGTGTATCCAAACAGTTGCACTTCACTGTAACTCACAAGACTGCTTTTGCCACGCTTATTTGTTACCAAAAAGCGATAGCTATCAAAAGTCGCCATATTGGAAATGGCTTGATATTCACCGTACATTGGACTTGCGGTTCGCGAACTGAGACCCGACGGTCCCCTGTATAGCTGTGTCCAATTGGTACACGTTGATAGATCATCACAATTAGTTCCTTCAATAGTGATGTCAATTGGATCACGTTGTATACTGTTATTAGCACAGCCAAACCGAAATCCGATGAGCACCGCATTACACTGTGCAACAGTAGCATGAAATCCTGTATTGAGGCCAGCAATAGAATCAGAGACACTGGAATTACCACGGCTGCTGAATCGACTTGACAGACTATCGTCGAAGAGGTTAGCAACTGGTTCAGAACTAACATAAGTGCCGACGCCAGTGCCAGCCGCCGCCACAGTACTAATTCCATTAGCAGATGTATTCCATAAAGACTCTGCGGTATCCACCACAACATCCAATTCCGTTGGTAAGGCTAGAACACAAAGCAAAACTTATATACATCAAACACTAACACTGCATCCAAACTCCATTTCGCGCCAGTTTCTATTCTATTTTTCTACGACGCGCCTCAGCATTATCAACATTTTGCAGATGCTATTTTCTCCCCGCAGATTTCTTATAAACCATACCTATATTCTCTACAAGCCTTTTGCATTTACAAAAGGTTTCCCCACACGCTCTCCCGGAAAACATACAGCGACTGGCACTCAGCATATTAGCCTACTTTTCCTTATTACACATTTATCCTTCCCAATTCGAACAATCTACATAGGTGCACCAAACACTGATCACTTATCATGCATTACCAGTAGTGGTACTACTTGTTGACGATGTGCTACTCGAACTGCTCGTTGTGTCTGTGGTGCTGGTTGAGGTACTCGTACTCGAAGTACTGGTAGTGTCCGTAGTGCTAGTCGAAGTGCTGGTAGTTGATGAGCTAGTTGTGTCAGTGGTACTAGTTGAGGTGCTGGTACTCGAAGTACTCGTAGTATCGCTAGTGCTAGTGGATGTACTGGTACTTGATGTGCTAGTGGTATCGGTAGTGCTAGTCGAAGTACTGCTACTTGATGTGCTAGTTGTGTCAGTGGTGCTAGTTGAGGTACTTGTGCTTGAAGTACTGGTGGTATCGGTAGTGCTAGTGGATGTACTGCTACTGGATGTGCTAGTTGTGTCAGTGGTGCTAGTTGAGGTACTTGTACTTGAAGTACTGGTGGTATCGGTAGTGCTAGTGGATGTACTGGTACTCGAAGTACTAGTTGTGTCAGTGGTGCTAGTTGAGGTACTTGTACTTGATGTGCTAGTCGTGTCTGTAGTGCTAGTTGAGGTACTAGTACTCGAAGTACTGGTGGTATCGGTAGTGCTAGTGGATGTACTGCTACTGGATGTGCTAGTTGTGTCAGTGGTGCTAGTTGAGGTACTTGTACTTGAAGTACTGGTGGTATCGGTAGTGCTAGTGGATGTACTTGTACTCGAAGTACTAGTTGTGTCAGTGGTACTAGTTGAGGTACTTGTGCTTGAAGTGCTGGTAGTATCAGTAGTGCTAGTTGAGGTACTTGTGCTTGAAGTACTAGTGGTATCGGTAGTACTAGTGGATGTACTTGTACTCGAAGTACTGGTAGTATCAGTAGTACTAGTTGAGGTACTTGTACTTGATGTGCTAGTCGTGTCAGTGGTGCTAGTTGAGGTACTTGTGCTTGAAGTACTAGTGGTATCGGTAGTGCTAGTGGATGTACTGGTACTTGATGTGCTAGTGGTATCTGTAGTACTAGTCGAAGTACTGGTACTTGATGTGCTAGTTGTGTCTGTGGTGCTAGTTGAGGTACTTGTACTCGAAGTACTGGTGGTATCGGTAGTGCTAGTGGATGTACTGGTACTCGAAGTACTAGTTGTGTCAGTGGTACTAGTTGAGGTGCTGGTACTCGAAGTACTGGTTGTGGCAGTGGTGCTGGTTGAGGTACTGGTACTCGAAGTGCTAGTGGTGTCTGTAGTACTAGTCGAAGTACTGCTACTGGATGAGCTAGTTGTGTCTGTCGTACTAGTCGTAGTGCTACTGCTAGAGGTGCTCGTAGTATCGGTAGTGCTAGTGGTTGTACTCGTACTCGAAGTAGTAGTAGTGTCGGTGGTACTAGTAGAAGTGGTGCTACTGGATGTACTAGTGGTACCTGTAGTGGATGTTGATGTACTGGTGGTGGATGTACTGAGGACAGGCCGTGTATTACGTAGTCATATAGAGCAAGAATAGATACGGATCAATATATTCTTCAGAGGACATAGAAGTGATGATTGCTTAATATGTTGGCAATATGTTAACTTTTCTCTTGATAGCGTTAGTCAGTAAACCGCTTCGTAGAATAGAAGAGTTTCGAGTCGCTAGTGTTGAAGAAGCTATAATCCTGTGACTATGGTTGGATTGAGGTTTCTTGTTGCTCTAGTTGACAGAGACGCGTTTACTCTTGTATTTTGAACTAGTTTGCGTCCGCTCAAGGCAAATTGAACCATTGTGCTTTACTAAAACCTTCCACCTGGAACGGGGTCTTCTATTCTGCAAAGGGTTTTAGCAGATTTTCGAATGCAGAATAATTTGAGTGGATATGATTTCTGAGATTTTTGTGTGCATGCATACTGCTGTGTTGGAAGCCACAAAACAGAAGAGATCATATTCTTCTACCGAATAAAGCAATACCGTAACAGCGCAGTGATGTGAACGGCAACACCATCGAGGGAAATCATTGACAGTAATGCACACATCACTCATGCTGGGTATTATGCAATAGTCAAAAGATTTTTTACGGTGGTGAAGTGTACTGTGCTGTTTTCAACAGGTAAATGATGACTCATTTAACCTTGAATTGTGTCATTTGTCATCATGAAAACGAAATAGGGCCCATATTATTTTTCAATAACCATGGTGGACTGAGTTACTGTTTATTACAACTAGTATCCAAAAATATTGATTTGTAAATTTTTTTCGATTTGCGAATAATTTATACACGGTATCAGGGGAGCTCGGAAGCCGTCGCTAAGCTTTCGAAATGATGAGTCAAAGTCTTAACGTCCGCCATAAAGTTCCTTTTTCCTCGAAAGTCAGATTATAGCGTTACAATGCGTTCAGCAATGTGAGAAGCAAAGAAGACGACATATAAAACACACAACCATACAACATGGTTGGTTCATTGAAATGTTCCCTGTCTATTAGCGCTTAATTGGTGATGCACTCTATTGGTTTGCAGTTCATTCCTAATGCAATCAGTGAATAATTGTGACAATCAGAGATGCCGAGAAAACATGTTTCTCTTTCAACTGTTTCTCTCTTGATCAGAACGCCGAAACGAACCAATAGGATAAGAGGAAATATTTCTGTATAGATAGCGCTACAGACATACGTCCACATACTAGAAGCTTGTGCACTGATAGAGTTCTATTACATGTGTCTCTAACAGCATTTGGTTAATATAAGATTTTTTCGCTCTATGAAATCATACGCGATTTTGAATCGTACTTACATGTTCGAGACAATCTCTGGCGATTGAACTGTTTTTCTTTTCCTAAGCAAGTGACATTTTTCAATTTGATTTCATCGACACGTTCTCCGACAATTCCATCTGCCTATTGCTTTTTCTCATGTCACTTGCCGATATTATTACTAGCAGGCACGAAAAACTAAGCCCATGGAACACCGTGAAATATTTTGCCTAATTCTATAGAAGGTAAGCTGTCGAAAAAGATCTAAAGGCGCGCATCTATCGCCTAGTGCACTGAGGTCTCACAATAATGCTTATTCCTACCTAGAGAAACACTGACAGCCCCATGGAGATGAAACATGATTATGCAATATTTGGATAGAACGTTGCTAGTTTCTGTCGTCGACGTTGAAGTGCTGCTACTCGACGTACTGGTTGTATCCGTAGTGCTCGTCGATGTGCTGCTGCTAGACGTGCTCGTCGTGTCAGTAGTCGACGTTGACGAACTCGTACTAGATGTGCTAGTGGTGTCTGTTGTACTAGTTGATGTGCTTGTACTGGATGTGCTGGTCGTCGCTGTGGTGCTTGTTGACGTACTGGTGCTGCTTGTGCTAGTGGTGTCTGTTGTACTAGTTGATGTGCTTGTACTGGATGTGGTGGTCGTCGCCGTGGTACTTGTTGACGTGCTCGTGCTGCTTGTACTAGTGGTGTCTGTCGTACTAGTTGAAGTGCTAGTACTCGATGTGCTGGTCGTCGCCGTCGTGCTTGTCGAGGTGCTGGTACTGCTTGTGCTAGTGGTGTCTGTCGTACTAGTTGAAGTACTAGTACTGGATGTGCTGGTCGTCGCCGTGGTACTCGTTGACGTGCTGCTGCTGCTTGTGCTAGTGGTGTCTGTCGTACTAGTTGATGTGCTTGTAGTGGATGTGCTCGTCGTCGCCGTGGAGCTTGTTGACGTGCTGGTGCTGCTTGTACTAGTGCTGTCTGTCGTACTAGTTGAAGTGCTTGTAGTGGATGTGCTCGTCGTCGCCGTGGTGCTTGTTGAGGTGCTGGTACTGCTCGTGCTAGTGGTGTCCGTCGTAGTAGTTGATGTGCTAGTACTGGATGTGCTGGTCGTCGCCGTGGTACTCGTCGAGGTGCTGGTACTGCTCGTGCTAGTGGTTACCGTCGTAGTAGTTGATGTGCTAGTACTGGATGTGCTGGTCGTCGCCGTGGTACTCGTCGAGGTGCTGGTACTGCTCGTGCTAGTGGTGTCCGTCGTAGTAGTTGAAGTGCTAGTACTGGATGTGGTCGTCGTCGCCGTGGTACTCGTCGAGGTGCTGGTACTGCTCGTGCTAGTGGTGTCCGTCGTACTAGTCGAAGTGCTAGTACTGGATGTGGTGGTCGTCGCCGTGGTACTCGTCGAGGTGCTGGTACTGCTTGTGCTAGTCGTCACCGTTGTAGTAGTTGATGTGCTGGTACTGGATGTGGTGGTCGTTGCCGTGGTGCTTGTTGACGTGCTGGTACTGCTCGTGCTAGTGGTTACCGTCGTAGTAGTTGAAGTGCTAGTACTGGATGTGGTGGTCGTCGCCGTGGTGCTTGATGACGTGCTGGTACTGCTCGTGCTAGTGGTTACCGTCGTACTAGTCGAAGTGCTAGTACTGGATGTGGTGGTCGTCGCCGTGGTACTTGTTGACGTGCTGGTGCTGCTTGTACTAGTGGTGTCTGTCGTACTAGTTGAAGTGCTAGTACTGGATGTGCTAATGGTGACCGTCGTAGCAGTTGATGTACTCGTCGTTGCCGTGGTGCTCGTCGACGTGCTGGTACTGGATGTGCTGGCGGTGTCTGTCGTAGTAGTCGACGTGCTGGTACTGCTGGTCGTCGTTGTTCCAGCCGGAGTCGAAGTGGATGTTGATGTTGTACTGGTGGTAGTAGTTGCGCTGACAGTGGAAACCGATGTGGACGTAGTGGTGGTGGTAGTTGTTGTAGTCGTGGTCGATGCGGATGTTGACGTTGTACTGGTGGTTGTAGTGGCACTGACAGTGGAAACCGATGTTGATGTGGTGGTGGTAGTAGTTGTTGTAGTCGTAGTCGAGGCGGATGTTGATGTTGTACTCGTGGTTGTGGTGGCAGTGGCAGTGGAAACCGATGTTGATGTGGTGGTGGTGGTAGTTGTTGTAGTCGTGGTCGATGCGGATGTTGATGTTGTACTGGTGGTTGTCGTGGCACTGATGGTGGAAACCGATGTTGATGTGGTGGTGGTGGTAGTTGTTGTAGTCGTGGTCGATGCGGATGTTGATGTTGTACTCGTGGTTGTGGTGGCACTGATGGTGGAAACCGATGTGGAGGTAGTAGTGGTAGTAGTTGTTGCACTGACAGTGGAAACCGATGTGGAGGTAGTGGTGGTAGTAGTTGTTGCACTGACAGTGGAAACCGATGTGGAGGTAGTGGTGGTAGTAGTTGTTGCACTGACAGTGGAAACCGATGTGGAGGTAGTGGTGGTAGTAGTTGTTGCACTGACAGTGGAAACCGATGTTGATGTGGTGGTGGTAGTAGTAGTCGCGCTGAGAGTGGAGACCGATGTGGATGTAGTGGTGGTGGTTGTTGTTGCAGTCGTAGTGGATGCGGATGTTGATGTGGTCGAGGTCGAGGAGGTAGTGGTTTGTGTTGTTGCTGAAGTTGAACTTGTACTGGTGCTTGTTGTCGAAGTCGAGGAGGTAGAAGTGGATGTGGTGGCCGATGTTGATGTAGTAGTAACACTGGTTGTTGTAGTTTGTGTTGTTGCTGAAGTTGAACTTGTACTGGTGCTTGTTGTCGAAGTCGAGGAGGTAGAAGTGGATGTTGTGGCCGATGTTGTGGTAGCTGTAGTAGCAGTTGTAGTAGTTGCAGTTGTGACGGTGGTATATGTTGTGGTGGTTGTAGTTATGGTAGTAGATGCGGTAGCATTTACGAGAACAGATGCGGCTGTAAATATAAATTTGTTGATACAGTTATAGTTGAGAGGATTACTAGTAGTGTTTACTTGTGGTGGCTGTGTATTTATTACTTGTAACAAGAATTGGTACGAGGAGTGTCACTGTGAAGACACACATACCAATTACTGCACCAACGCCGGTTAAAACTTTAGCTCGTCTGCTCCTATGGGGAAAAAATTATGGGAAATAGATTAGAAAATGTCGCAGTAGGTATGCCGTTTTACCATCCATTGTGCATGACCGCGACCAATTGATTCGAGCCTGCTTGAGGTTGATTCAAGGGTGCTAAGTTGATTTGTTCAGCGCCTGCCATAATAGTTCAATGATCTGGGAAAAATATTATGTTGCACGAAACAGTGAATATGATAGAACCAGTTGTCTGTTGTACACCTTTTACAGAAAAATATTGTTCATGACATATTGACGATTTTCGTCATATCTATGAAGGAAAAGGATGCTTGGAACATTTAAAAGCGATTTGTTAGCGTGGTAAGAATTTCTTGTAGCTACGTGTCATTTATCAAACAACTCGCAATACGCTTGATATACAATGCATCAACGTAGAGGAGAGAAATACTCTTTAATTGTGATGGCTCTGTAGAATTGAGTGCTGCTTTTATGATCGTTTTCTTTTCTGCAAAAATATGAAAATAACTCTTATTCTCGCGTATCTTTTCTATCAAAAAGATAAAATACAAAGAGAAAATGTTTTGAAAAGAACATTTCCATGGACTCACTAAAACAAAGAAAAGAGCAACAAATAACTAAGTTTGCATTCGCACTGAGAAAAACAGCTAATCTTTTAACGGGATGAAAGATATCTTCTCAATTCAACAAAGATTTGTCAGGTAAAGAACGGTAATCAGCAATGCTTACTTCAAATCTCTTTTTCATGCTCGATTATTTATATGCTGTCTGTTCCTATTAAAACGTTTTGTTTTTGCGAAGAAAATAAAATATTTTCATGGAACAATATATCGCTCTTACTTTCTTGATAACTAGATACAGAGAAAACGACGAAGTGTCGCTTATGAAAAATGATGATGACTGAAGAGAAACATTTTTCAAAAGAGGAACTCTTTCTTTCTTCTCGCTTCTCCTTTCTTTCCTAACAAATTTCCTTCTGATGCGCTTGTTGTTAGGTAGAAAACATTTTCTCCCTGTTCTTTCTGACAATAGAATGGGAAAACATACCTACCGAAAGTCTCAATCTTGTAATTGACATTCAAATTACCATACATCAATTATGTAGAAATATCTAACAAAACGACGTAAGCAAAAGCAATTGTCAATAAGGACATCTTACTTTCATATTCTAACAATAATTCAAATTCGAAACAACAAATATGAATTTTCATAGGAAAATCAAATCGATCACGTTTGCCCGTGATTACGAGAGTTAAATGGTAAATAGACAAGAAACGGCATCTTTCTTGAATTCTTCATTCTTTGTGCTTATGACGTCGTTTTGTCATCTTTCTTTCCGTTGAAAACAATTAGCGGTGTTTACCGAATATGATATCATAAAGTATAACCGCTTTTGAGATTTAATCGTCTTACAGATGTTTTTTTCCATAAGAAAGACTCCATGTTGGATATCCGAGATTCAAAAATATCTTCGAAGAAAATATTTTTTCATTCTCTTTCACCTCGTTATTATTTCTTTAGAAACAAAAAATAAAGTTCTACTCGATTTGAGCATTACCATAGTTGCGTATTCGCCATTTTTCCACAGATGAATAAATGACAAATGACGCTCCGTGATTACCAATGCTCAACGAACGGTTCTATAGAATTTTTATCGAAACAAAGAGTAACTGATTTCTAACAACTATTTACACAAGGACAAGAAAATATATTTCATTTGACTCAAAACGACAACACCTAGACGTTTTCTCAACTCGAAGACGTCAGTTATCTTTTCAAGTAATTACGTCAAATGGTTTTGTTCAAGAAGAAATTCAATTTGTTAATACATGAAAGAGAGATAGGGAAGTCAAACAGTTCAACAATTGAATGAGAAGTACCGCGGCGTGATGTTCAAATAAAAAATAAAGGAAATAATTTTCTTTTATCATTGCATTGACTTCAAGAGATGATCTTCTCTTCCGACTCATCTATCAGTAAAAACGTTTTTTTTCTTAGTTTGCCCTGATCTACTTGTATTTGCACTCTGGTACAGCATAGCAACAGGAAAATCGATCGTTTCATGCAAACAATTTTAGTAACTATAGAATTTAAAATCATGATTATACAGGGGAATATATTAATAACATCAAATGGATGTTTTTGACAGCGTGAATATTGTGTCAAAAGAGAAAGTAGACACATTCGAAGAGGTATGTTCAGATTTCCAAAAAAAGAAATTTCCACAATTTACGAAAATTCTATAACATATAATTCATCATGAATTAAAGACAAGAGCGAAGGGCACGGTGAAGAGACGAAGGAAAATTCAAGAAATTTCGAGATATTTTCCGTAATTCTAATAATCTGAGAGATGAGGGTCAGAGTTTGGATTGAGGCACTTGTCGCTTATCCTCGCCCTCACCCCTCAAATGACTGAAATTATCGAAAATACCTCGAAATTTCCTAATTTTCCTTTTCTTCTCGACCTACCTTTCTCTCGTATCTATCGTTCATAGTGAATTATATGATATAGGATTTTCGGAAATTTCTTTTTTTGGAAATCTGCACACTGCTAATGGTTTCTCATTTGAGACATTTCAGTGAAGTGATTTTTGATAAGTCGAAGACGATATAAACTAGGTTCCACAACATTACCGTGCATTACATTTCGGACATGCGCCGTAGTGTCGCGCGCGGAAATGTCGTGTCATGATAAACTATTGAAACCAATGATTTCATGAAGTCCATTGTTGTATAAATCAAGAGATGCCAGTCGAGTTAGTCCACTCAAGTCCGGTAAGCGAGTTAACGAACAGCTCATTAACCGTAAATGTTGCAGATTTGTCAGTGATCCTAATTGTTCAGTCATTGCTACAATAGGAGAAGCTATTATCTGCAATTTATGCATTTTTTGAAGATTTTTTAAACAATACAGGTCCATTGGTACACTGGTTTCATTTCGAGTATAGAGACGATCAACACGTGTTCCAGCTTCGTTCATCCAAGCAGTGCTTTTCTATATTGAAATACATATAAACTAAATAGAAGAAGTTTAATTTAGTTTTACCTTTGAAGCCGCCAGTAATATGATTTCGCAATGGCCTCTGCGGCATTCATACACCGGACACCACCAACAAACATGACCAAGAACTAATGAAAACTACTGATATAAAACTTTGAAGATGCATTTTTTTCATAAGTTCGTCGCGCTTTTTCTACAGTCAAGATATAATGTTTGAAACGATATCATACTACAATGAAAACATGTCTATGTACTAACTATACATGAATTGAGACACGAAAATATTTGCATTTTTCTTGAGTATTTCATCCAGACAAATTTTGAAATAAATGTTTCGATGAAGAGATAGGATTTTTTTCAAATCTGTTCAGATCATCACAAATAATCCAATCATGAGTTCCTTTTTTTTCTTTCTAATCAACAGATTTTTATTCTCCCATAGGCACATCTACGTTATCAGAAAGAGAAAAAAGAAAAATCCTGTTACTATAGCGTGTTTACTTGCTGAAATGTGTACTTGAAAAAGTAAAAGAATGAGTAACTCTTCAAAAGAATAAAACGTCTACTTTTTCTTCTTCAAAAATAATGAATATCGAAATCTTGCCAAATGAATTATTTTTTAAACTGTTCGAATACCTGCACATAGCCGATCAATTCCAGGCATTTTATAATCTTAATTCTCGTTTCAATCAACTGCTTTCCCGTCATTTGAAAACGCACAATCACTTGAATTTATTCTCTGTATCAAAGAAGAATTTTGATGTTATTTGTCGAAATTATCTTCCACAATTTCTCGATCGATCTATCTCCATTCATCTCTTTGACAATGCTCAACAAATCAGCCAATTTCTTTCCTATGGATATCATTTTCATCAATTTATCTTCTTAAGATTTCTTTCGTTGAATTATGTTGAATCAGCAAGTAGCCTGCAATTAGTCATCGATGAATTACAACATTTGAATTCTCTCACACATTTACTAATTAAACAGTGTGACATCGAGGATGTGTTGATCAATAACGGACGGATATTTGATCAAATTTGGACTTTATCGACTTTGACATATTTTGTATTCGAACGAAAAAAATATTTATGGAACCCATTCTTTATTTCACCAAAACGAATCTCCACATCGATCAAATATGTATATCTAGACGGATTTTCCTACAATTCTGATGAACTGCATCGTCTGCTCGAGCACACAATCAATCTCGAAAGTTTAAGCATCGAAATCGAACACAATTATGATTATCAATTGATTTCCTCACCGATTTTATCATTGAAAAAGTTAAAACTCTCAGTACAATATTCATCGCATATTACTCATCATCTCTTACACTACACGCCAAATTTAACTCATTTAACAATCAAATTATTCTATGTAATCCTCGATGGATATCAATGGGAGAAATTAATCACCACTTATCTATCAAATTTGAAAGTCTTTCATTTCAAAATGGAATACGTACGACGATGTAATAACACGACCATCGAACCAATCGATGAATTAATTGATTCATTTCGTAGTCCATTTTGGCTTGTTGAACATCAATGGTTTATTCAATGCCATATTCATCGATCTCATAAACGTCTTCTCGCTCATCTATGTACTCTACCGTATCATTTCAATGAGTTTAAGATGAATTCTACTTTACAATTTCGAACAACCTGTCCTGCGGATGAAGTTCGTTGGTCGTATGACAACGTGAAACAGTTGACCTATCAAGGTTCGAATTGTTCGTCGATTCGATTTCCAAATGTGGAGAACCTGATCGTTGTATTTCCCATTGATACGTATTTCAAATTGAATCTTCCCAATTTATATCGTTTGACTTCAATGACTGTGAAATCAATCGAAACGGTACATGACGAAAGACAATTCGAAAATCTTCTCCGACATACGATTAATTTGCGTTCATTAACAATCAAAGAGTCGTCATTCTCGTATGAAGTTTTGTATCGCTTGGCGAATTCCTCGATTCGTCAACTTGATCTTCGTGGTGTTCGATACTTTAACGAAGAGCAGTGCAAGAAATTGGCGAGTTCAATTTTGGGAACTCAATGCGAAAGATTATCCATCTCGGTCTGTACTCGAACTGATATTCCTCTTCTTGTTAATCAAATGAGAAAACTTCAAATGTTGAATGTGCACTGTAAGGATGATGATTGGAATCAGAAGATATATGAATCAAATCCAATCGACACATTTGTTCGTTTTTTAAAAGAACAATTGCCGACTACCTGTGCTATTCAGAGGTGTACCGGCGAAAAGACGATTTCTGTACAGTTATTGATCGACGTGTGAACGATCAAACTGCATATTTTGAAGAATTTGCTGCTACTTGAAAGATTTGTAAGATATGCAATAAAAGAATAAGTACTTGAATCGAACATTTCAAGTATTTCTTTTTGTCGCACATAATTCAAATGGAGACAACATACGATGCAAATTGTAATAAATCTGAATATCTAAATTCTCGAATATTACTCGTTTTTTCCAGGTAAAAATTGGTTATAAACCGATTTTCCGTGGAAAGTCTTCCCTTTGTGTGCTGCATACATTCATTAAATTATTCATACAGGTAAGTAAAGCAAAGGAAAGAATGTGAAATTCGTTCTGTACAGGGTGTTTTACTGAATAATGCAGATAATTACGAAATTTAATTATTTTTTGTATCAATTATATAATACTGTTTGTCTCTGTTTATACATTTTGTTTTAGATATGCTATTTCTATTGCAATTTTTTACAAATTGATAGGTCTTCATCTTTGCTAGTATTCCGCTTGATTAGCAATAGAGAGAAGACAGAAAAAGATCTTTTTCAATCGTATGTTCGGTATTGAATTGTCAAAGTTCGAAAAAATATTGTTTCAAAGAAGACATATTGTCTTGCGCTTTGAATAACTAAAAGGAAAATCTTCATCGATATGAAAAGTAATAAGAAGAAAATGTATATTGTTTCGTCTTAACACTGTTTTTATTACACGGCATAGTTGGGAGCCTTGTTATTACCAGCCTGGCTTGCTACAGTAGTACTGCTATCTCCACTACCTCCACTACTGCTACTTTCGTCATTTTGAGATGTGCTGATCGTAGACGATGGGACATCGGTCGAGCTGGACGACGGGATATCAGTCGAGCTGGATGATTGCATGTTGGTTGTTGTTGGGTTTGTACCTCTAACTGATAATGTAGTATTTGATGTATCAATGCCATTAATTATTGGTGTCGCTTCTAAAATAATTTTGATATTACTGATACTGAAATCTATGAAACAACTTTTGTTCTTGTTCATAGAACTCTAGTTAATACTAAGTTAAAGCACTCCATGCTAACTCACGAATAGAGATTTGATGATGTTCGATGCTTACCTTTACCTGCTAAATAAACACCTAATAAGGAAAACAAGACGATGCTTGCTAGAATACCACCCACTGCCACTCCAATCGCTAATGGTTTGGAGCAAATATTCAAGCTGTAACAAAAAACAGTATTCGTTTATAGCCATTTTAGACTGTACAGACAGGAAATACTTACCCGGGACCTGGCCCTTTGTCACGACGGTAACTACTCTCTATTTGTTTGATAATTTCAGTATTGGAGACGTTAGATTCGAAGGCCTGTGTTTGAGACGCTGGTGCAACCTTGCCCGCCGATCCGGATATGCGAATTGTTGTTATAACAGATTTGGATTCATTTACCGTTTTTGCTGTTGATGATGCCGATGTCGATGAAGCATTGGTTTCCGTCGCCGATGCTGTTGCTAAGCTGGATGCTGCATTAGCCGCCGAGTTTGATGCTGAAGTCGTAGGTGTCATCGATCCTGGCACCAGCGGCTGCGCAGATTTAACGCTCGGTATTGGCGTCGATTCGGAAAGTGATATTGCTGTTGCCGCTGATGCCAGTCCTGGTATCAATGTTGATGCCGATTTAATTCCGGATGTTGCCGCCGGAGCTGTAGACAATATTGTTGTGAATGCCTGTGATGATTGAAGTGTTGGTGTCGGTGATGATCCAAAGCCAGGTGTCAGAGTTGATGCTGATTTTATTGTTGTAGGCGTTGTTGAAAGTCCTTGTGCTGGCGCTACTTCGAGTGTAGGCGCCGTCAACGGTTGAGCCGATGTAGTTTGCTGCTGAGCCGAAAGCATTTTCGATGAATTCAGTTTCTCTAGTCAACAAACTTCGTGAGTCGCTTTTTTGTGTTTGAATAAAAACTACGCAACTAGATTCGTTTTTATTCTTACTCATTTACATTTTAATACGCTTCCACATCAGAGCCATATGTACGGCTTCTTTTCTGATACAGACAAATCCGCACTTTCAATCAACTATCAAAAATATTTATTCAATATGGGATAAAACATATATAGACTACGCCTTATCAGGAATGCGAGTCAGACAAATTGAAAATTGAAATTGTTCTGGAAATACATTCTTTTTTCGTAACAAAATTCCCACGTATAATATATTCTATAAGTTCGAAGTAACCTTTGTAGATTAAAATCGCACGTAAAATGGTTCTTTTGGCGTACTATACATATGGTAAATGTGATGTTATTTTATTTGAGAATAGCTAATGATTTCTCTCTCTCTCTATTCTTAATAATGAAAGTCCGTGTGCATTTGTAATTGTGTTGTTTCTAGTAAGAGAACTTTCCTTGTGTTCAATTCAGGAAGATGGTGTTTCATTCCATTGTTTTACGACATCACCATGAACTATGGGATTTTTATGTAAATGTTCACCTCAGGGAAGCTTATTAGCTACAAATCATTATTATATACAGACAAAACAAATTTTTGATGAAGTTTCACACTCTGTCATCACTAGCGCTTCCACTATATAGTGTCAAGCTAATGATAAATTTTGTAGAGGCTCAAGTTCTTCTTTCATGGTTATACGATCAGCAATGTATCGTATTTATAAATATATTAGACTCTGTTTTACTGCCTCCTCAGTAAAACTAATTCTAAAACTATAAGTTCGCATGCTTTACACATCATTGTATCGTTCATATACAAATATTCCGCATGTCTTGGTCGTTGGATACCCTTCCACCAGAATTATTTCGATATATTCTGGCATATCTTTCTCCCGAAGCAGCATCTGCTCTCGCACAAACATGTCGTAAAATGAATGCCATTACTCACGATGATAAAATTTGGCAACAGTATTTTTTTCAAAGGTATAACATCATATTCAGTACGACTTTATGCAACACAATTACATGTGATTCTTCTAGGTTTACATATGTAGTGCGCAAAATCGACTATTCCAATGAAGAATATTTATCTTCTATTGCTCAAAAGCCTTTCAAACTACCCGATGGTTACACTTGGCAAGACTGTTTCATTGAAAGATCATTTCAAGACAAACATATTCGATCACTTCTAAACGAAATCATTTCTACACGAAAACATCGTAAGTCGATCACAATCTTTCACGAGATATACTCATTTTTACATCAATCAGGAATTCACAATGCAAATCTGATTTCATCAACGTACGGCCTTCTCGCATTGGATGCCTTCAAACATTATTTTCCGCCTTCTCCTCATGCATCAAAATCGATCTCTTTGGATTCACGTAATCTGACTCGTGAATACTATTCATTAGAAATCGCTCGATTGATATCACGACAAGCTGGTTTGGCGCTTCTGAACGATATGAAAACTCGACAGAATATTCCAACTGAAGGCAAAGCGTTACTGAACGCTCTATTCATTATTCAGTGCTTCCACCCAGATGGAATTCTTCTTCAGTTGACGCGTCTACATGCAATAGGTAAACGACTTGTTGACGATCCGATGTTTTCAACATTGAATTTAACTGAAAAATGTCAGTTGATTTTAACTACGATGAAAAACGAAAGTTTTCTTCCAGCAAATGGTAGTACCGAGTATTACGATATCAGTAACTCATTTCTTTTCTCGACATTTCATGGTAAACCAACGATTCCACTAACTCTCGTCTCAATTTTTTGTGCACTGGCTGAAGAATGTGATTTAATCGCTCGTCCGCTCGGCTTGCCTGGTGAAGTTATGGCACAAGTTTATCAAACGTCTGCATCGAATGATACTCCATCCGTATTGATAATCAGTGTTTTTGATGGTAATTTCCATTCGAATGAGAAATGTTAACATTTTCACTTTTTCTTCTAGGTAAAATCATGACTCTCGATGAAATTAATGATCGTTTGGCAGATTTTCTTGACGAACCTCTAACACATCCATTACCTGTCACATCAATACTAGAGCTAATCAGTCGATCAGCACGAAATATGATCAACAGTATAACACAATATCCTACGTCATCGTTGAATTCCTATGGTTTGTACGCTGCTGTATGTGTGCTAAAAAGATTAGGTGCCGGTGCATTACCATTCACATTTGATTCGATGATGCACGTGCTCAAAGAACACTTTCCGATGGACATTCATCTGTTTGATATACTCGCTTCGCCGTTGGGCACCAATGCTGATGATCTCCAACGAATACAAGAACAAGATGCAAATCCTCCAATCGTCGAACTAAAGCGACGCGAAGATCCATCGCCAAAATATTTCATCGGTCAAATTTTTCAACATTTGCAGTACAACTATTGGGGTGTGATCTGTGGATGGGATTCCTCTTGTATGGCATCGCCCGTATGGCAAATTCGTATGGGGATATCAAATTTGACACGAGGTGCAACACAACCATTCTATCACATTCTAGCAGATGATTCATCTCGACGATATGTTGCCGAAGATAATATCGATACTCTTGCATTTACTTGCATTGAAAATGAAGAAAATAAATTAGCTATTTTTCGACGATTATGTGCAGCTGATAGCATTGGCAAACAATTTGAACGACTGGACATGGCTAATGCAAAGTTTATTCCAAATCTTGAACTACGTGAGGAGTATCCCGATGATTTCGCTTAATTTATTATGTGATTTTGTACATATGGTGGATTGATTTTAATCGAGCAATGTATTTTTCTACAATAAATTTTGTGTATGACGAAAGAGCGTCAAAATCACGTTCATATCTGCAAAGAAAATAGACCTGCTGATTTTTCTCAGTTGTATTGATTCAGACACCTCCGATTCCGTTGTTCCAATTATTTGCGTCATCGCTGGCATACCTGCAGAAATAAAAACGAAGATCGGATTTCAGACATGACAAACTTAACATAATATTAAAAAAACGATCAGATCCGAAGAAGAAGAAGAACGTTTTTCTAAATAAAGATGCGCACACCTTCGACAATACCGGTAATATACATTAAGCTTGTTTAATCAGCCTGTACATGTATATAGGTTTTCTGAATAATATTCTTGTCTTTGTAGTTTTCTGAATTCATACGAAAAATCTCCCATGTACCCACCGATGAGATACCTCGCAATAAAATACGAACTTTGATGATACACAACGGTCTGCGTTGTGAAAATATTCACTCTGCCACGCTTCCACAAGTTTGTGATAGAGTTGAACACTAATCGAACAGGACTTTGAAATCATATTGATTTTCTACTTTGAAGAGATGGACATTATCATTAATAAAAGCTGTTTTAATCGTAACACTTTCGACGAGTTTTGTCATGGGTGTCAATATTGGTGGGCCGAATGTTTATAACTCCGTTAGTTTCAAATCTATCATTGTCAGTTCAGCCTTTTTCGAATCAAAGTCAATTTTTAGTTCATTGTACCATGGACAAGAGGATACCCGTTCCCCTGCCAGAAAGATGACGAAACAGCACAATGGATTGCACAGGTTTGGTGGAAATGTGATTATAAGAAAACGTTGCTGTTCAACAAAACCGGATATTATTATTTACCGACGACACCAATGGATAAACAGGTTTGGGAACGATTTACCGATGCTATTCATACGATTTGTTTCGTTTCTGGCGGAACTGTTGGAGGCTTTACTGCAAAGTACTGGTATAAGTATTTAACACGGTAAATAGTTCCATCCAGGCCTCTTCCTTTTTTTCTTGGATTTATTTGTTTAGACGGAATGCTATTGTTCCATGTATGATCTATCAGTTGATAGCATCAATTCTAATGATTATTCCATTGTACATTTACCATGGATATACAAGAGGGGACCCAGATCGAAAAACGATACGTGAAACATTCGAATACAAAGAAATCGCCATTGCTTTGTTCTATATATCCCGTTTTCTTTCTGGACTCTCAGCTGGTGAGTAAATGCTAGTCCTATTTCTTGGCATGATCACTGATGCCAGCATAGGTATGTCCTGTGTCGTAACCACAATTTATTTGATGGATATCAGTCCAAGAACTATGCGAGGTAACATTATGACATTTCATCAACTATTCATTGTTGTCGGCGTTCTTGTGGGGCAAATCATTGGTGTACCATGGCTTTTCGGTCAACATGAGTACATAACTGTATTTATTATTATGTTGACATAACTAGAATTTTCTGCAATAGCAAATGGAATTGGGGTATGGCTTGGGTTGGACTATTTTCTTTAGCAGGATGTTTTCTTATTTGGACTTTACCTGAAAGTCCACGATGGCTTGTTCAAGAACGTGAACGAAATGAAGCAGCTGTATCACTTCGTCATCTTCGACGGAGTAATTTAATCGAAGCTGAACTCGAAGAAATCGAACGGCAAGAAGCTAGTGTTACTACGCAAGATCTCTCATTTTACACAATGTGTAGCTCAACTCGTTTTCGTTGGCCATTAATAACTAGCATAGCTTTGAATGCCATTCAACAACTGTCCGGTATTAATACGGTGAGATTGATTTATCATGTATTGTAAAGCATTCGAGAGCTTATGCGGCCACACACGTTGTAGATTTTGAAAGGAGAAAGATAGAAATGAATGGTACGGAACCGGCACAGATTACTAATATGATTTACTTTCTACACGTAGATATTCTTCTACTCACACGAGATATTATCAGCACTTGGTTTTGTCAAAGATAGATTTTATTGGAGTGTCATCTCAACTGGCTTAATTAATTTAGTAGCTACCGTTGTCACATTAAAATTAGTAGAATCAATCGGTCGTCGTCCGTTGATTCTTTGTTCACTTGGTATCATTACTTTCATTATGGTCTTGCTTTGTATTTTTATACAAACTTATCTATGTATGTGTTGTTTTTTTTCTCACGAAAGGTTTCTATGAACAAAATAATTATTTTAGCAATCGCCGCACTGATATTAATGCTAATCTTTATTGCTGTATTTGCATTGGGACTTGGACCTATTGCCTTTGTGTATCCCAACGAAGTTTTTACGATTGATATGCGTCCAGCGGCGTTGTCAATTTCCATTTCTGCGAATTGGTTGTGCAACACTTGTGAGTTTTTTTCCATTTTACGCTTCAAACAAGAAGAGTCATGAAGTATTAAATGTCCTTGTTTTAGTAGTCACCATTTTCTTTCCTGTACTAAGTTCCATTTTTCAAGGCTATGTTTTTCTTATTTTTTGTTTTTGGTGTTTACTGGCATTTGTTCTATTGTGGTATAAGGTATATCTCAGTTGTGTTGTGTTTGTCTTCAGTAGAATCAATGAGGAGTTCTATTTTAGATGCCTGAAACCAAGCGCAAGAAACTTTCGCAAATTCAAGCATTTTGGTGATTGCATATAATCGATCAACGCAAAAGATTCGTACTATGAACAGAAATATCGTTGTATATTCCGTCAGTAAAGATTTTTGAATAAATTCTCATCGAGCAACGACATCTAGTTGCTTCTCATGAGTCAATAGCAACTTGACGATAAAGTTGATGCTGGAAAAAACGATTGTTGTACTGGAAGATACCTCTTACACGCACATAGATGAGTCAGGAGTAATTTCATAAAATTGCGAATGTGTTTATGATGCACGATGGTATATAAATCGAAAAGTAGATTTTATCTTCCATGACAGCAAATTCACATAACAAAGTTCGACAGAATGATCACATTTTCAGTTCAGTTTTTGGAAGGTCACATTATTGCCAAGATCAATAAATTCAAATATATCATCGATACTGGTTCACCAATGTCATTCGGATATGGGACGACTATCACTATTGATCAAAAGCAATTTCCCATAAGTCGTACTGGTATGGGAGGAACTACGATTGAAGCACTTTCTTCACTCAGTGGCTTAGAATTCGATGGATTGATTGGAATGGATATTCTCAAAAATTTCGATATTCGATTCACTCAAAATGAAATTGTATTTTCCGATACATTGACATTCCGTACTAATTCAGCAATTAAACTGCCGATAATTGACACAGTGATGGATATTCCAATAATTAACTTGACTATCGGACAGAAAGATCGAAGAATCGTGTTCGATACAGGTGCAAAACTGTCATATTTAAGTGATGAATTACTCACCGGAACATCGGTTGGTGACGCAGAAGATTTCTATCCTTCTATAGGTAGATACAAAACGAAAGTGTATGAAGTTGACGTTATGATCAATGAGAAAGTAGAAACGTTAACATTCGGTTCATTACCAGCGCCTCTCCGAATGCTTCTAACAATGACCGGAACGAAGGGAATTGTCGGAAGTGAACTACTGAAAAAGTATTCGATCATCTACTCGAATTCAAGCAAAATGTTGTTCCTGGAATCAACGAATAACTATGAAGATGAATTAGACTGAAAAGTATGCTTTCGCAATATTCGTTTTTTCGTAAATGAGAAGTATCATTTATTGTTATTGTTGATTTACATATAATCGTATTTCGGTGATAAACATTATTTGACAAGCTTTCAAAAAAACCACGACAATCACTGCCTATTTTCAATATTTTTTGCTCCTCTTATCGATGTATATCTTTCTCAGTGTTAACCTGTTTTGTAATAACTATTAACTATGTAACATAATGAGAAACGTTAATCATCTTGCATACCTCAAATATTAATAACAAAACATGTTTTATTCAAAAAATAGTCTATATCTTGCATGCTAGCTGCTGTTGAAAGAAAAAAAATTATGTAATCAAGCGAATAAGCATTAAGTCGATATATCTATTTAAAGCTAGATGGAAATAAGTCTGGTGAAAATAAGTCGTACGTCACATCCATTGACCTTGCAATGATATATTCCGATTCATTGCTTGGTTCTTTTTTTAAAACTTTTTCTATGAAGTTATAATCACTTTTCTACTCATGTTATTCAATCACGTAATGTAACTTTGATATAGCATATTCGAACTAAACGAATTCCATATATTCGAGGACAAAAAACAGATTAGCGTGAGCTAAGCTAGTTTTTCAACGATGGATAGAAAATGGATTTACTTTTGAAGAGAAAAAAAACAGCTTAACCGTTCTTTTCCCTTTTTATGTTTCCTTCTTCGTGGAAGCGAGAGAAAAAAAGAGAAATAATTGTGTTCCGGCGAAGGAAAAGCCGACAGTTGGATGATAATTACATAGATATTCGGCTCAACGTTGAAACAAATCTTATTCGACATACATGGCTAAAAATATCAACCGGCATTCGAATGATATTATCATCAATCGGGAAAACATTCGTTTAATTTATTTGGATAAAACTGCACCCACATCGGATTTTCAAAGCAAACTATCCGAAATCAATCCTGCAATACAATTCTACACAGATAAACAGTTATGTCAGACTACTTTGAAGTCAATCGTACTTGAAGATATATTTTTGATCTTAGCAAATATTTCGTTCGTCGATATTCTCGATGCTGTTCATTCGTTACAGTCGATAGTCGCTGTTTTTGTTTATGATAATAACCGACAGATAGATGATTTGAAAAGTCAATATTCAAAAATCATTGATTTGTATACGAATGAAGATGAGCTGTGCTGCTCGATAAAAGAAAAACTTCAATATATGGAAAGACAAATGTTTATTTATCATATCTTAGATCCTCAACGGCCGGATTTCACACGACAATCAGCATTTTTCCTTTGGCATCAGATGTTAATTGATGTTCTGAAGCAAATCCCTCAAAATGAATTTCGACGAGATGAGTTTCTAAATCGATGTGCACTTTACTATCAACAAAATCGTCTGGAATCAGATCAAATTGAAGCATTTCGTTCGAATTATACGTCACAACAGCCAATAGAATGGCTAATCAAAGACTGTTGTCTATATAAATTACTCAATCGTGCGTTAAATACTGAAGATATTGAATTTCTTTCGTCGTTCCGATTGTTTATTCTTGATTTACATACATCAATTGAAAAAGATTACGCGAAGATAGATCATCAAGGTTCGATTATTCTCTATCGAAGACAAATGATGCAGCGCGATGAAATTGATCAATTGAAACAAAATATTGGCTGTTTGATTTCCATCAGTGGATTTTTAGTCACACTCCGTGACAAGACAAAGGCGCTGGCCAGTGTTCAACCGCAGATAACAAGCAAAGAAGATGTTTTTCTAGAAATTCATATCGATACCTCGAAAACTTCGGCTACTTGTGCCGACGTGCCATCGAATGGAGACGAGTTTATTTTAAATATCAATACGTCACTCAAGATCGAATCGATCAACCATGATCCCGTTGAAAACCGATGGGATATGAAGTTAATCTCATCGAACGACGGAAGTCAGTATGTTGCCGATTATCTGAAATTGATTCAAAATGAAATGAATTACTCGAACTCGATGATCTTTTTCGGTCATCTGCTATGGAACGATCTTCATCGGTTGACTCAAGCGAAAACATATTTTCAGACACTATTAAAAACCTTACGCAAAGATCATGCGGACATTCCGGATATTTATATCGAATTGGCAAACATTTATGGTCAGATGGGAGAACATAATTTAGCGTTGAATAAATCTCAGTTTGCATTGAATTTTCGTCAGAAGCATCAACCGAACGATCAGATGCAGATCGCTGTATTACTCGATTCGATCGGTACCATTTATCGACATATGAATAATCTCGATCGGGCTATTGATTTTCATGGACAAGCTTTGTATACCTACGAAACGAAGTGTTCCAAAACGAAAAACTTACTTCAGCGAGCGAATACCATCGCGAACTTGGGCTTCACATACAAAGAGAAGAATGATCTTGATTCGGCGCTGAACTATTTCAATTTAGCTTACGAGATGCGTCATGGGGATCTTCCAGCAGGTCATCCATTACTTGCAGAGTCATTGTATAACTTGGCAAATATTTTTTATGCGAAGAATGATTTCAATAAAGCTTTGAATTATTTTCAGCAAGCATTAGCTGTTTATCCGTACGAACATTTACATCAGGCGACTATTGATCGATCGATCGGTTGGATTTATCGAGATAAGCAAGATTGGCAAACAGCTCTGAATTATTTCAATCGTGCTTTGGAGATTCGACAGCATCTCTTACCGAATAAAAACCATGTGGACATGGCTGTATGTTATGGAGATATCGGCGAGATTTATGAGAAAATGAATGAATTCGATTTAGCGCTAGAAAACTATCAACGACAGTTTGATATGGAAGAACAATGCTTACCATTGAATCATCCGAACTTAATGGTACACTTTGATTTAATTGTTAATCTTCTGAAGAAGAAAGATCAATCGCGGAAAGCACTTGAATTATGTGAAGAGAAACTCTCGACTCTGAAACTCATTCTTGAAAATGATTATGAAGATCATCCACGTGTTGCTCGAATATTAGTTTCAATTGCGGCAATTTACGAAGACGAGAATCCCAAACAAGCCGATCAACATTATCAGCACGCCTTATCGATTCTTGAAAACAGAAAACATGAGGAGATTCTCCAAACATGTCTTTCGCCGATGACAAATTTCTATTGGAAATGCCGCATGTTCGATCGAGCTTTGATTTGTCAAATGAAACTACTTCAACTTCGACGTTCAACATTGTCTTCGAATCACAATGAAATCGCTTACACTTTACGCGGTTTAGCACGCCTCTACCGTGCAATGGATAAGCCTGACGATGCTTTGCATTATTTTCATCAAAGTCTAAATATTCTTCTCGCTAATAATGGACGAGAACATTTGGATGTGAAAACGATTCAACAGGAGATCTTCGATTTGAAAGATATGGTTCATACAACATCGGCCGGTGCAAGTGAAGAGATTGCTGAAAAGCAACCATCAGACACACAAAAGCGGATTCCACCATCACCGAAACAACCGTTATTAACTGTGCCGAGTATCGAACGAAGAACCTCTACAAAATCTGTTACAAATAGTGCATTTTGTGTTATTTTGTAAATAAAGTCGATGCATATTGAATAATTATCGATAATGAGCGTTAATCGTTGAGCTTCGCGTGCTGTGATCTTCAGATAATTGTTACCATTGACGTCAGCAGAATAATTGACTGGATAAGAATGTAAACTGACATCGTTCTTTTAACATACAGATAACTTTGCACTGAAATGAAGGAGTATTTGAAAAAAAATTTCCGTTACCTAGAACAACGAAATGCAGATTTGAATTGATTTTCGTTTTCATAATTTTTTTGCTGTATCACTGAACAGATGTCCTTTTCATTTAATACTCTTAACATAGCGATGGCTTTCATCAACGAGAGGAATCAAACAAAAAACCTCATAGATCCAACTTCGACAATCGCACAGAAAACGATGGCGATGAATGCTCCGAACTCCCCATCTCAAATGAAACAAACCACAGAGAATATGACCACGTATATTCAACAAATGGCTAGTAACTATACAATAGTAATGAATTCCACAGTAAAACAAGCAACTACGAATCGAAATCGAGTTCTCCTGTTCTTTATTACATCACTGCTCGTCATTTCGACATGTGTAGGTCTTAGTTACTGTATTCTGCTAGGTTGTACACATTATCTCAACGAAAACTTACCAATCGATGAAAATGTAATTGACTTCAAACGAACCTCTTTGGTTAGTTATGACTCAAATGCAAATACGTGCTCAATAGCGAATAGTAGACCATCGATGTTAGCTAATTCGCAACGAAAACAATCGAAACGTTCATCGCCTGATTCACTTCGATTGTTTCTGTATTGATTCCATGTATTAAAATTTAAATGGCTCAAAAATAGTATAGAAAAGAAAACTGATAGTAAAAATAAAGCTAAATTGCGAATGAAGTCTTTGTGCATGATTTAAGTAACAGTTATAAGTAACTTGGTAAGAATTGAGACAAGGTGATTGTGTTTGGCATAGTGAATAACATGTTGTACAAACTTCATTTGTACGTATGGTATAATCTTGACAACCAGTCGTCCCACAACAGCGGCATCCACAGCGATTAATTCCACTCGTCGAACTACTCGTGCACGTTCCACTCGTTTGACCAAGAGCATAATTCGATGGGCACGTAGATGGATAACGAGCTTGACATGCTTGCGTACACGATGTTGTTAAACACTGAGACGCAGACGTGATACCCACATTTACAGGCGTACAATAAGAACCTGTTTGACAACACGAGCAAGAACACGTATTACCTAACCACGGACCAATTGTTGTAGTTGTTGTCGTCGTTGTTATTGGACCTATACATGTTCCTAACGTTTGTCCATTTGCATTCGATATGCACTGCGTTTGATACTGACTAGCACATGAAATACTACATGAACCTACTTGACATGTGTAAGAAACACTATTACCAATATATGTAGGCAAACATGCGGTAGAACCAGTATTACAGCATTCACAACGGCAACTATACAATTGAACATTGCTTGCACTACATTGTGCTACGACAGTATTTGGATAAGAGCTTTGACATTGAGTGTATAATGCTCGACATTGTATAGCACACATGTCGATTGTACAAGTTGATAGATAGATAGTTTGTTGAGGAATGGGTGTACATGCAGGCGTATTACAACATGAACATGAACATGGATATGTTTGTGATTCAATAATTGGTAATAAGTAGAACAAGAGGATGATGAGATACATTGGGTTGAGTTATGTCGATGGTATTGGAGAGCTTGCGTTTGATGTAAGTGAAAATATATGGTCGATGGAAAAAGTTGATATTTAGATAACAAGAGAAAAAAGAACAACAAATAGAGGAACCCAAGGTTGAGTGTATTCATCAATATGTCACTTGACTGTTTGGTAAAAACATCTCTCACCATTATCGAATGTACACAAACAGATCACGAAATTATCAGCTCTTTTTCTAACTATCCATTAAGAGAGAAGTATCTCTACACCAGCTTGTGTATTTGTAGAAAAATATATCACACATTTTTATTGATTAGATGAGTCATACATACGACTGTAGTAAAAATGAGAATCAGGTGAACTATTACTCATTCATTGTGCTGTATTCGAGCGATGTATCACTGTTTTTTTTCATTGGAACTTCTTATCTACAAGTTATATCTAGCTAGCAGTGGCAATCAGTTCAGTGGAATTTATAAAAGGTATTCGTAATATAGATCAGATATCTACTGAAAAAGTATTCAACTCTAAAAAGTACAAAAATAGTTCAGATTTGATCAATAGCGATTTTTGAATTTAAAATGAGACTCTTTGGTGGTTCGTATTCACAATGGATAATATCAATTTTCCATCACTGGTATGTATCCGGATCTTGTTGCTAAAAAAGCTCATCGTTACAAACGCAAACCGTCAGTTTCAACTTACCATATGTATCGAACACTTCATCATTAATACGTGCCTGTCGAATTTTTTGCAAACACATGAGTATGATGGGTTTTAAGATGAGAAGAATGATTGCAAAGCTACGTTCACATATAATGAAGAGTTTCAGTGATCAATCTATGAAACTAATCCTACCATGCACTAATGCTAAAGTATCCGCTTTTCGCGAGATTATTATATCCTGAAAAATGAGTATAGCATAGAAAGTAAATCGATGATAGATTGACGCACTTGATTTTCCGATTTCAAAATACATTCCAATAGCAACTGAATCAATAATAATTGAGATGCATGTGGTTAACATAAGCTAAAAGTATGTAAGAATGAAAATCGATTCAACTCGAAAGATACACTCAACAGACAAGTTCGATTTCGATCATACGTTGCGGCTGTCTAATAGCCAAGAGACCAAGCACTAATATAGTTCCTTGATTGAGTAGATACGACTGAGGTAGCCAATCTGCCAGCAATATTCTATGGGAAATAAAGCAAACGGAGTTCGTTTTCTTTTCAATAAAATTCACAGTTAATTACATGCTGACGAATATGAAATATATGCCGACAAGAATCTGAAATATACACGACGAGCTTCACTTTGACTATAAACAAATGTGTGATCCTCACTCGAAGAAATAATTCACGGTTGACTTGCATGTTTTCTTTCACAACTATAAGAACAAAGTGAAATTATATTTTACTTCAATAGCGTTTTTTGTGACAAATCAACTCAAGTACGTTAAACAAAAAAGTTGAAACAGGCAGCCAATCAGTTCGTACGATGTCGCTTTTCTCACTCTCAATGAATCATTCATTGCTTCACCGATCGTCGCCCATCAAAGTATCCTTGTCTAGATTCTGATGTAATCATCATTACAATTGCAGTTGAGAAATGTTCATCGGTCGATTGTTAACGTGTCCAAAGTCATCTACTATTCATCTTCAACGAATACTTTCTGTCAGATCTGTTCTTCAACCTCGTCGTTTAGTTAAATTTGCTGTTGGTACTACACTTCTCACCGGTGCTGGTTTCCTATCCTATACAGTCTACGAATCTGGATCGGAATGGGAGAAGATTCGTCGAACAAGTTATTTCTGGTCTCACATGATACCGGTATATATTCATTATCGCTATCAACAGTTTTATTTCAAATTATTTCCTGCGAAAACTCCTGAAGAAGAAGATCAAGTCTGGTTGAATTTACATAATAAATACTGTGATTATGTATTGAATGTCGTTCTTCATCAACGGGGTGTTTATATTAAACTAGGACAAATTGCTTCTACTCGACCTGACATTATCCCGAAACCCTATCTAAAGAAATTTGCACAATTACAAGTAGATATGAACTTTTTTAAAGCGACTTTTCTGAATGTTTACTGTTGAAAACTAGGATGGTGTTCCACCTCAGTCCGGTGAGTACGCTAAACAAATGATCGAACAAGCTTTTGGTAAACCTTTGGAAGACATCTTCTCCGAATTCAATCCAAACGCTGTAGGCGCTGCTACGATCGGACAAGCGCATGAAGCTCGTCTGAAACGGTCCAATAAGGAAGTTATTGTGAAAATTCAGTATCCTGAAGTGCGAAGATTGTTTGAATTAGACTTTTCAACGTTGAAGAAGTTCGTTCGATTAGCTCAACCGGAACATTTACCATTATTTGATGAGTTCGAAAAGGCGTTTCAAATTGAATTCGATTTCCGACGAGAAGCTAAAGCTTTGGATGTGATCGGTAAGTGAACACCTTTGCTTGAATTTTGACTAGCAATCGTTGATTAAAGGTCGAAATATAATGCCGCGCTTTCCAAATGTTGTCATTCCTCGTCCAATTCCTGACATGGCAACTGAGTTTGTTCTAGTCATGGAAAAACTAGATGGAACCAAACTCATCGATGCACTCAAAGCTGAACAAGCAAAGATGGCTGCTGCACAAGGAAAAACTCTGGAAGAATTTGAACAAGAAATGATGGCGAAATATCTTTCCGGTGAATTGTATCGTCAAGCTAAAACAAAATACACACCTTCGGCCTTCGTCGTTAACGTATATGCATCATTAATACATACGATTAATCGTTTGAAGAACGTGTACATTTACATTTATAATCATTTGATGATTCCTTTGTTCAAACAAAAACCGATGGAGTACATTGAACAACGAGTTGTCATTAATCCACATGAAATACTTGATTTACTCAATGAGGTTCATGCTCAAGAGATCCTTCTCGATGGAATTTTCAACGGTGATCCACACCCGGGAAATATTTTTCTCTTGAAAAATGGGAAAATCGGTATGAAATGACGGTTATACGAACTGATCGATGTTAATTTGTTCTTTCGTTTCCTGCAGGTTTAATTGACTTTGGCCAAGTACAAGAACTTTCTCTATCACATCGTCTTAAATTAGCGAAATTGATTGTTTTACTTGCTGAAGGAACGAAGGAGGAAATCATCGAGCATTATATATCCATGGGTGTCCGTACACGACACATGAATCGATATGTCATTGAAAAATTAGCTCGACTCGGATTTGATCGCGATGATCCAGAAATTTGTGAGGGTAAAAATGCACAAATCTTCTTTGAACAACTAGGAAAATTAGATGAAGTGATACAGTTACCTGAAGGCTATCTGATGGCAGCAAGAGTTGGAATGTTGTTGCGAGGTTTGGGTACTTGGTTACAATTACCTCATTCAACTGCTCAAAAATGGGCACCCGTTGCAAAACAATTGTTAAACACGTATAAAGATACTAATGAACAGTCATTCACAAGTGCTCTATGAAAGTCTCCTAAACGCATAACGAAATCCAATTAGGAAGAATTCGGTTTTAGTACGAATGAAACTATTCGAATAGAAATGTATTTCTATTTTTCTAAAAATAAACAAGCCAATAAATCACTTGTAAACTGAATTATTTAATGATGTGCTATGAAGAAAGATGTTCATACATCGAGAACAAATTCATCTATCCATTTCATCTTCTCGATTCTTCCATCTTTATCAAAATTCAATGGTGTCCAAAATTGTGGTTCATGACCCTTTATTCCATCGGGTGCCTGTTGCCATCTACAAAAACAAATCGTTGATTAAAACTAGACTTTTCTACTTGTAGATGAAACCTACCTGTCACCTGTCCATACGTATGTTGTATAACCACTCGAATTCGTCACTTTAATAATGTAATTCTGTTGAGATCGAGCGATAGATGTTGTGTTCGCATTATGAAATTCACAGCCTTGACTAGGAGTAGGCAAACCGTTGCTTGACGTCGACTTCGCATCGCTTGTTGATACACAGGCAAGATCGCCATCAATCTACATAAAAAAATACGAGTATTACCTTTACTAAAGAAGAAAACAGCGAATACTTGAAGCGTATATGGCCCCATGGGACTGTTCGATGTATGAACTAAAACTCCACTGCCTTGCATACAATAACAACAACACCAACCAAACAGAACATAGTAAATGTTGTTTTTCTTGAGAAAGACTGGTGCCTCAACGAAATACTCTTGAAACATGTATGATTTACCCGTGGAATAGTAAAAATCCGGCGTCAACTGTTCAACACTCATATAGTAATTTTGAGAGTAGACAATATAACCAGTTCCATCATCGTCAACAAATATATCAAAATCACCTACAAGCCTTCTTTTAATCAAACAGATAAAAAGAGAACGTTTAGATTTGAGTACTAACCTCCGCCACCTCGAGAAACATTTAAAGCTGGATTAACCAGTTGAAATGGTCCTCTGTGTAGGATCAAAATATGTTAGGAACATCGCATATTCACACAACACATCACTCACTCAGGTTTTTCCGCAATCGCTACAGCGTACAAACTTGACAGATTCCATCGCATGTAATTCCAAATCAAAACATATAATTTTGTGTTCGGATTATACACAAGATGTGGTCGAAAAACTACGCCTGCATTATTTGAGAAAGAAAAACAAAACACGATAAAAAGTATAGTCGTGAAGAAAAAATGAATACCTGCAGGTCGATCGGAGACATCAATAGCATTGCCAGCGTATGACCATGATCCTGTTGTTAAATTTGGTGATGTCCAGATACTAATATTATGATTCATTTGAAAACCACATTTACTTTCCATGCCTGCCTGAAACATCGCATTGAATATCTTACACATTCTTCAACAATGCTCGAATCCTTCTCTCTTACTCCATCGCAACCGTATTTCGGCGGCTCTTGACAAAGTCCATATTGCATAGCATGCATATAATACAGTCCGTTTCTTTCGAATTGCTGTATACTTCCGTCATGTGCATCGATAATGTTACCGTGAATATCCAAGCGTGGTTTAAGATTATTAATCGTTATTGGAATCGTATGTAGAAATAATGGACAAAGAAGAAATGTTGCAAAACTAAGAAGGAATGCTTTCATAGTTCTAAGTTAGAGCAGTGAAGTTAATTTGAAAACAAAACAGATAAATCGAAGTAATGATTTCTATTCCTGCGAGTCTCACCATCTGTGGTTAAAGATAAAGAACCTTATGTCACCGTGGATCCTTATCTAATTGTCCAGGCATCGAAAATACTTCTATACACTAAATAATAGCTCGCAGTCTCAACATGAATTTTATTGTTTGATTAGCAAACATAAGAAAAGAGAAAGAGAGATCGAAAGAACGAAGACAACATTATTGTCCTCAGTAATGAAGAAAAGGTTACTTGAACTACACTGAAAAGGAGAAAAAAGTGACTTTTTCATGTTTCTCATTTCAACAACAATCATAATAATCAAATGAATGTGATTCGATGCATTTAAAAGGCTTGGCAATAAAACAGTTTCACTGCACAGGAATTCATAATCAACTTATAGTGTACCTGTGAAAGTTCTGCACTCAGTATTCATTACGAAACCAAGATCAGACTGACTACGACAAAACTCAATCGGGTACATTAGATGATGTTTCAATAATATATATGTGCAAATTTATGACAGAAATCGTTTAAAAACGTTATTTTTTCCTCTTTACACACACTATGCCTGTTAACTATCCAGTAAAAACAGACGAAGATCAAAATGATTTAACCGCACCTTACTATGAACAAGAAGCGTTCTATTCAATATGGGATGCATTACAATGGAAACATGTGCGAAAACGCGTACCTGTCTGTTTGAAGAAGACGTTATACAATCGATATATGTTGGCGAATTTGATCTATATTGGATATACCATTTCCTTGCTAATTCTTGATTTTCATCCTGACTTCAGTATACAAAGTGTTGACGAATCAAGCAATGGTACAATTTCTGACATAAGTATTCTGGATCAGCCGGTGCAAATGAACGAATACGCCAATCGAATTTATATTGGTAAATCGTTTTTCACAACAAAAGAAAACGATTGTTCTTTAGAACTTTCTTTTCAGGTTTAGCGGCAGTGAATATTCTTGTCGCTTTTCTTTATATCCTAGCATGGCGTGGACGATCATGGTTTGATGTTGTTCTCATTCCAGAATACCTTAATCATGTTCAAGCTGGACTCTATCTATGGTCAGCAATATGGTATTCTAAGCAGGACACACTTGGCGGTTATTATACAATGGCTGTACATCGAATTGAACTAAGCGCATCATGTATTGAACTTTGTGCTGCAGTTGGCTGGTAGATAGAAGATTTTTCTCTTTCGATTGTCATGTAAATCTTGACTATTTCTTTTCTTTTCCAAAGGATGGTTTCGTGGTATATGACTTATACGAGAACGATAGGACGTGGCTTTACTCTGGATGATCCAGACACAATGGCATATCTAACAACAACATCGAACACACTTATTTATCTTGTATATAATATTCAAATGAATGTTTATCCTGAACAATATGGAAGTAATCAATTATTTGCTTACGCAGATATTCTTGGCTTTATTGGATCGGTTTATTATATTTGTGGGACACTGAGAGATGAGAACTGGTTTTGGTTTTTGCCTTTAGCTGGGCAGTACGGACTTGCTGCTGGTAGAATTCATATTGATACGCGAACTTTACCGAAATTTGGATGCGACAATATTATCATCACTGATTTATGTCGACGTCGAAAAATAAAAGAAAACGAGAAAGAATATCAAGAACCAAATACGAACATGAATGTTTTAACAACATATTTTTGATGAGTTTTTTTTTACATTATCAAGAAATAAATGGCTTCTCTCACGGTAAAAATTTGCTGTTCTATTAATAATCTCCTTTATTTATATTTTCGAAGTAAACAATGTCAAAAATAGTACATACTTTCGATTACTCATTAATAGTTTATCTTTGATAATCATATCCAACACAGCAGACTTTTACGTCTTTTCCTTTCGTCACACATTTGACTACAATTAGGAATAAGCTGATATCCATGACCTCTATGTATCTGTTGGATGATTCGCTAGTTATTGTCTATCGATATGTTCTATTCTGTTCAGTTCAGAAAAACATACACAACACAACCATCTTCGTTGATAATGAATGGTAATCAACCATCATCGGTTGTAATCTTAGATAATAAAGACTTAACTAGTCCTGTGCATGAATTACAGTCATTCACTTCTATTTGTAAAGCACTACAATGGAAATATGTACGAGTTCGCGTACCGATTTGTTGGAAGAAACTATCACAAAGTCGATACATGATGGCAAATATTGTTTATTTGTTTTATTCTATTGGAATATTGATTATCAATTTTCATCCTAGTTTCAATGAAACTTCTTCGACAAACTCGCTTTCAGCTTTCCCTGATCTCAATGACTCAATTGAGCATAATGTAAATGTGAATCGATATTATGTTCTACTCGGCGTTTTACATCTAATCTCAGCATTTCTCTATTGGTGGGCGTGGCAAGGTCGATCATGTCTGGATATTATCATGATTCCTGAATATTTGAACCATATCGAAGCTGGACTTTATCTCTGGTCAGCGTTTTGGTATTCCAAACAGGATACACTCGGTGGATATTACACATTAGCTGTACATAAAATTGAATTAACGGCAGCTATCATTGAATTAATTGCTTCATTTGGATGGTAGGAAAGCTTTGTTTAATCTTTCTTTCATTACTTAGACTTTTCTATACTTCGTTTCTGTGACAGGGTCATGTCATGGTATATGACATACACGAGAACCTTAGGACGAGGTTTCACTTTCGATGATCCAGATACAATGGCATATCTCACAACAACAATTAGCGCGTTCATCTACATTACATACAATATTCAAATTAACCTTTACCCGGAACGATACGGAATGAATATGCTGTATAAATATGGTGATATACTGTATTTCATTGGTGCTTTGTATTACATAGCTGCAGGCTTACGAGACGAGAATTGCTTTTGGTTTCTACCATTAGCTGGACAATATGGTGTAGCAGCAGGAAGGATTCGTGTGGAAACAAAAGAGTTACCACAGTTTGGTAAACCAACAATTTTTGTGACAGATGTGTGTAAACGAGTGTCTCATCAGGAATTTAATAATCAAAACGAATTAGATATGGACCATCCTCAGATACTCTCATCAAGTTAATCATTGTTTTGCATAATTATTCAAACTGTGCGTCGAATAATCACTTTTTATAGAAGAATTTACTACAATTTATAATAAAATATCTTAGTACTGATACACAATAGACGATCGACGAATTTCTTGCTGATATACACATTCATGACAAAATTCTCCATCATGCTTTTGCTAGCCTTATCAACGTGGGTAGTTCTTTTTTTTCTCGAAAGATAGATAAAAAAAGATGTCACGTCTGCAAAATCAAATCATAGCTTGAAATTTCTCCAAACAGCATGTCCTTGCAGTCAATTCGTTTATGGTTTCGACTTTTTCTTGTCAATGATCTTGCCAGTATTCTTTTTCTATTTATTTGGTTAATAATAAATATCAGTCTATTTCTTGCACAATTTCTAAGTTATCATCGATCGCGCTCATATTTTTATCTTCGCGCATTGATATACGATGGTGTAAGTATAGCGCGTGCATCGGCGTTATGTTTAAATTTCAACTGTTTATTGATACTTCTACCTGTTTGCCGAAATTTATTGTCTTTAATTCGATATCTGTTGCCACGTTTCGTCACACAATCTCGTTTTCGTCGTTTTACAATAAGATTATTTGATCAGCATGTCGAGTTTCATCGTTGCGTCGGCTACGCTATTTGCTTTTGGTCTCTGATTCATGTCGGTGCACATGTTTACAACTACGAACGATTCATTGATGTAAACAATGAACATGACACACTTGCTGCAGTGCTCAATTTATTATACTTGAAATCACCTGAATCGCAAGTGAATCCAGTCGGAAAGGTCAATCCTAAAACGCTAGGTGTAGGTATTATGTTCGGCACTACAGCTGGAATTACTGGTGTTATCTTATGTCTTTGTTTGATTCTAATGGTCAGTTCATCGACAGTGATGATCCGTCGATCGTTTTACGAAATCTTTTGGTTTACACATCACATTTTCATTGCTTTTTTCATCTGTCTAATATTGCACGGTATTCAAGGATTAGTTAAATCACAAACAAATCTACAAGAGCACAATCCCGATATCTGCGCACCTTTATATCGCGAATGGAGTACATCACCCCAATGTCAAATTTATCCACGTTTTACCGGCTCGAAGCCGGCTAGTTGGATGTGGCTGTGCGGTCCTCTTGGTCTTTACCTCCTTGAACGTATTCTTCGTTTCATACGTAGTTTACAACATGTTGACATTGTTGATGTAGTTCGACATGAATCCAATGTTATTGAAGTTCGTTTTCAAAAAAAAGCAATGACCACACCTCAACCAGGCCAATATGTTTATATAAAATGTTTTGTTCTTGCTAAATTCGAATGGCATCCATTTACTGTTACATCAGCTGCAGAAGAAGACTATGTCAGTGTTCATATTCGAACAGTAGGGAACTGGACAAAAAACTTAGCGAAAAAACTCGAAAAATATCCAGAAGATTTGCCTCGATTAAGTATTGATGGACCGTATGGAAGTCCAGCAGACGATGTATTCAACTACGATGGTGTTGTTCTAGTGGGCGCTGGCATTGGAGGTAAGCATTGACTTTATGAGTTTACTTATTTCATCGAAACAATTTATTTTAGTAACACCGTATGCATCAATTTTGAGGCACATTCGTTCTTCGAAAGCAGCGGATAATATTCGACTCCGTCGTATTTATTTCTATTGGATATGTAACACGACAGCGTGCTATGAATGGTTCGCTCAATTACTTCAGGAACTTGAACAAGAATTACGAGATCGAATCGGTTTTCTTACGTATAAAATCTATTTAACTCAATGGTCAATGAGAGAAGCACGCGCAGTGATTGAAAATAATCCTGATGAACGCGACTTATGGACCGGTTTGCAAGCTAAAACAAAGTACGGACGACCTAATTTCGATGTTGATTTCCAATCCATCGCCGATGAAGATTGGAAAACAAAACAGAGACGAGAGATCGGTGTTTTCGTATGCGGTCCGAAACCGTTAGCAAAACAACTTCAAAAATTGTGTATTCAAATGAATGATAAAAGTGCATCGAACAATGAAGTTCGTTTTTATTTAAATAAAGAAAACTTTTAACTTGACAGCAGTACGGTGATGATGGCATTGGAAATTCTTCACGCACATTGGAATTTATTCTCACGAACTAAAAGTTCTTGCTGTTGAGAATATGCCTAGCGCTTCTTTTGTTATTATCAGTAAGACAAATATCGCGTAGGCTTGAGAATTCTAATTGAAATTTGTGAAGTCTATCGATGCAGAAACAACGAGCAAGTGTGAGATAGGAAGAGACCACCAACGCTAGCATAAACGCTATTTTCCCTATATATACTGTATACATGGCTCAAGAATCTCAAGTCATACGCAAATGATTCATGGCGGAATGCCGTGACAAAATTAGTTTTGAAAAGATCATATTCGGTTAATGGGAGAGCATCTGTTCACTCATGTTCCCACAGTCGACATAGTCGGTATTCAAATCGCGTCTGAAAGTCGTTTTAAATCTAATCCCGACGGCATGCTAGACATTATGTTTCTACTCTTTCTATTGAAACAGTGTAAATCACTCAGTTTTGCTCCGGTTGTGGCTTCACACAATAAGTGTCAATCTTGAAATTCATCGTATTTTATTAAAAATATTAATCTTGCAGAAGTTCATTATTTTTTCTTCTAGAAGAATCGCTCTGAGGACTCTTCTGACATAAATCATGTATGGAAACGTCTCAACGCAACGAAACTCATCAGTTGAAATAATACTTGTGTGCCAATAAGACTACGTCATTTCTCGTATGGAGTCGAAGGAGACAACCAGTCAGCTATCATCATCTTCCATAGAATATACAATTAAATTCTACATTTTAATAATATTGCAAACACCATCGATTCTATGTTCAATCTTCTCGTAATTTCAATAGAGAGATAGCATCATTCTTACGAAATAACGTGTGAAAATTTCTTTTTTTAGCCTATATCACTTCAATTGGTGTCGTTTACAGAGTCAAGTCTATGGAATTTTAATTGTGTTCAATAGTTTCATTGTCGCAGTTGAACTATCATTTACACTTTATTTTCTTCACGAAGGCACTATTTATTCTGAACATTTATGTACACCATGGATCACTCTGAATTACTCGTTGTATTTACTAAATATTCTATTAATGGCATGGACATCTATCGAACGTTATCTATTCATTTATCATGAACAATTGATAACACAATATCGAATTTATTTACACTATATTCCTATTCTTGTAATTATCCTATACTGTCCTTTATTTTACATAGGTATTGTCGTGCTATATCCATGTCAGCCAGTTTACCATGTAGATGTCTATCTTTGTGGAGGAGCTTGTTATCAATTTGAACAAGTATTGGGATTATTAGATTGGGTCGGAAATGGTATGACTATGGTATGGGTCACTTTTATGTTGAATGTTATTTTGATTATACGACATGTATATCAACGTTTTCGAATGCGAAGGATGATTATCACTGCAGATCGACGTTCGACATGGGTAAGAATAAGTTTTGATTTTAGAGGATGAGAATTTCCATATAATTTTCATCTATTCTAGCATCGTTCAGCAAAACTGAGTGTGCAATTGCTTGCTATTGCTCTACCTTACATGATCGCATGGATACCTTATTGTACAGTTGTAACAATACAAATATTTCAAAATACAGAACAACTTGCTTATCTTCTTTCGACATTCTTTGTTTATTTCCCATATATTCAAGTACTGTTTCTGCCGTATATTTGTATTTTATTTATTCCGGAAATTAAGCAGAAATTCTGTATATTATACAACAAAATATGGCATGGAAAGTTTGTTCGAAGACATAATCAAATCCATGCCGTAGTTTTACGACAGAATACAACTCTACTCTGATCATTTGTTTTCGATATGTGTTATTTTACACGAATATCGAGACTAAAGATTTCGAATGTTTTTACATGTAGAATGTTGTAATGGAAACGCAAAAGTTGTGATGTTTCACTCTACTTTTCTCTGCCTTAAAGGCTTTACGAGTTATTTTCAGAATGCTTGCAGTCGTTTCACGTCTACTCTATGTATACGTTATAACAATTTCAATTGCATTCTGTTTTTGGACATCAGCCGGTCGATGGAAAATCCGGCAATACTTTTTAATACTTCAACTCACTCTATTTCGTTCTTGCAATATGACCACGTTGGGTAAAGTTCTCGAATTCTTCTTTTTCATCTCAGTGGATTCTATTTATGTCTGAAAGGATAATTGTGTTTTGATTAAATCTGCATATTGCCATCTAGTTCATGAATGTGCACTGCTAATAATACAATGAGAATATAATTCTAATCTCATTACTCGCATAGTTATTAATTTTAAAAAATCTCGAATTCACTTGCGAAAGTATTTTTGAAACTAACCATCTATTTATCGTTTTGTCAGATGGGCGACTGATCCATTAGGGTCTCTGATGTTTATTCTTTTCAGATGAAATCTATTTATAATTCTGCCTGACAGTTTCATGATTCTATTGACGGTGAGTTAACCATAGTTTTAAATTCTCGAGGGTGTGTATTATTAACGAGTTTCATACGTTCTCTGGTGTTGTTTTTGTTGATAACATTCAGTTGAGCTACATGCCGGTACACTCTAGTTTGAAACTATTTAGCGCTGTAACAATGCTTAAAAACGTTTAACCGCAACTCTTTGAAGAAAAACTATTCCATTCGTGTACATCGCGAATGTTTCTTATCTTTATTTTTTGAATAATTATCAATCACGAATAAATCCGGTGATTAAAGAAACTATATTATTTAAAAAGAACTATTTCGTCATACATTGCTTATCTATCATCATAATCATGAGCGATATTCAGTCCAACTTCGTTCCTATTCAAGATGCATCGGCACGCTGCGGGATAACAACCTAAACCTCCCTTCAGGTTAAAATACCCGAGGTCTTCTAAAATGTCATCGCGTGTAATATAGATAAAAAATGTCTTCTAATGATAGGAGTCTTATATAGTGTCATTTGGTAGAAAATAAACATTAGATAATTGAAAATATCATCAATTTATAAAATTCCATCAAATAACTACAAAACTGTAAAAGTATATAAACATAAGGCACACTAATCTTTTCCCATATGAGCTATAGTTAGGTAAGATCGAAACAAATATTTTCCTATCTATTCCTACCAGTTCTTATTTTTATGGGAGAAGGTATAAACGGACGATAAATTTATCAAATCAAAATTACGTCTAGTCTCACTATGTACTAAACTTTTAGTTTTCTTTTTCGTCGTATTTTCTGAAGTTATAACAGACACTCGAACCTTCAAGATGGTCTTCTGATTTGAGAAGATCTTTTGACATGTCGAGGTGGTTTATTTCATTTTTGACAATATTGTTTTACTTTCTAATCGGTTTATCTTCACGCAACCAACTCATCGCCAAAAATCGAGTTCGCCATTTCTTTGTTCATTTCACAATTCAAATCTTTTAACAAGTTCTTTAAGTGTATGTAAAATGCAATTCTATCTTCGACATCCATGTAACTAAATCATACCAACACTTCTGATATTTCAATTGATATGAAACGCCAATTCGATGTATTGCATTCGTTATTTTGATCTATCACCTGTTGATTTATACCAATACTAATGTCAATTGACAATGGTACATGCAAAATGAACGATAACTTTCACGCGTTACTCTATTCAATCTATCTGCTAGTGCCTACCAACGTTGTTCCGTCTGCAACGACGCTTATCTGTGATCTTTTGATTTTAAATAACTAGAAAAAGATTCGCACACATGTTTATCAATTGCTCATAATGCGGTAAAATATAAATCTAACGAGAAAGCGCGATTGCGATTACATTCGAATATTACCGATTCAAGTCTTCATTTATGTTTTATTAACCTTTTCATTTACATGATTTATTCTCTACAAAACTATTATTCAACTTGATTCCGTTGAGAATCGTTCATTTCGCACTGAACTTCAAGTTCTTGCACAAAAATGTTCAAGAGTAATTCTAAAAGAAGTCTACCGCATTGTGTGTAGAACGACTCTATGGTCTCGTTCTTTCGAGAGAGAGAGAGAGAGAATCAAGTCTATCAAACAACAGGTGTGAGTATTTGAAAAAAAATTAATGAACCGAAACGAAATGAGAAATTATTTTTTCACGATTATAATTATTTTCTTCTCGAAAACTTCAACAGCAAATTGACTCGAACATGTGTTCTCCAAGTTTTGTCTCTCGTTTACGTCTTCGTATGCAAGTACACACTTCTTATCCGATTATATTTAGTATCTATTGTACACATCGTGTTCTCATTATTGATGAATAATTAATTCGACAAAAAAAGAAAAGAAAGAAAGACGAGAAGAAGAGAAAGCGTGATTTGGTCAATCAATCTTTTCATCGTACATATTTTTTGTTTTTATATCATTTGCACCTATTTAATGGTATGAAACATATTCGTCAAGGTTTGCGCGTTTTGCGTTCTTTCTAGACATTTTCTCACTGACTCGGCTCAATAAAAATACACAAAACACAATCGAAATATTACACGTTATGATTTGTTCGACCAAAACGCGTGTAGTTTTCTAAAAAGAGAATCACAATGAGTTTAATCGTACCTCAGACGTTTATGTTTGATTCGCAAAATACGAGCGATAATGGAGATAAATCACCATCGTTAAAATCTACTTATTCATCCGTAACATCCAATCCGCATCAGAAATATTCACGTTCATCATCGTTGAACCCTTCGCTATACAATCGAGCATCACGTTTACAAGCAGGACCATCATTAGTCGATCTGCCAATCGATACCAGCGATGATGATAACGATTTCGATGATAACGCATCCGCGAGAGATAATTACCGTTTTGCTCCCCAGATTATACGTAAACGACATTCGAGACAGAATTCCTTCCAAGCAACTGCAAGTTATTTTCGTCTATCCACACGTAAATCCGAACCTTTGGTTATTCAAGCACCGCCACCGGGAGCTATTTCCATTGCCGCACGGCGATCTTCATTTCAAAACAATGGTTATCTCTCAATTATTGATAATCACGCAATTTCAGCAGCAGCCAATGACCACAAAGATATTCGCGGACAAACACTGCTGCATCTTGCTGCTCGTCTTGGTCATGATGAAATCATGCGTCTCCTTATAAGTGAAACATCGCAAGCAAGCATGCTAATGAATACCAAAGGACAAACACCCTTGTTATCAGCAATCGAAGCCGGCTCAATATCCACAGCAACTCTACTCATGGAATCTGATCCCAGATCAATTGTTGCCAGTGATAATAACGGTTCGAGCGTATTTCATTATGCTTGTGAGCATTGTAACGATGTTGTCTTGAATCGTGCTATTGCTCTATCGAAACGATTGAACTCAACGAGTGATCGAATAACGGTAGGAATCGTTCTCGATTGAATTCCTTGTAAGATGAAGTTTATTTTAGGCCTTGCGTCGAATCACTGAAAGAAATCGTGACGGTAAAACTCCGTTCGACATAGCCATAGAGAAAGGTCAATTGAAATGTGTTAAACATATCGTTTTATCTTCTTGGCTAGAAGCAAATATTGACATGCGAGAATTGATTGATGCTGTTTCAATGAAAAATGCGATCGATCAAGAACAGTTAGATATTTTAACATTTTTTGTTTCGCAACCCAAACGTTTTGCTTACATTATTCATCTATTAGTCAATGTTAATGGTCGATATTTTAATTTGGTAAGGTGAATTTTCTAGACGATCAAAAAAGAGTAGAAAGAGGAAAAGAGTACTATCAATTATCATTCCATTAAAAAGTATATCGAATTGTGGAAGATAATTGAAACCAGTCAGATAGGTTTGTTCGCGTTCTCTCGTTTGCTTATTAAGATGACGCGTCACCATCATTATCTTTCGTTTTGCTCTACTTTTTCTAGTTAGAATATGCAATTCTATTGAAGAAAAAAGATATCGTTCGGTTATTTATCAGCGTTCGTATTCCAATTGAACAATATAACTTCCGTTATCAATACAAACAGTTCTTAAAACATTATAATGAACCATTTGCGCAGAATAATGCGTCACCTTTTTATCAAACACCTATACAACGTATGTTAACAACACCTGAATGTGTTCCATTAGTCCCATTGATATTAGAACAGTTTGTTAGCAATCACGGAATTGATTTATCGATTGTTGATGATTGTTTGTATGCACGGCCGACGAAAATGCGATGTATTTTCGGACGAACGAAACATTTTTCAACAGATAATTGGCTTCAACAGCATCCACTAAGTATGAACGAAGAAACCTTTCTTGTTTTCTATTTCAATTTCTTTCGCTTCTTTTCGTTTAGCTCTCATTGCAAAGGCAGATTGCAAAGATGTATACGATCACCGTTTAGTTCGCTTATGCGTCGATTTAAAATTTAACTTATTCGGCAATTTTCTCTATCTACTTATTCTTTGCTGTCAATCAACGTATGTCGCGCTGTACACAGGCATCGCATTAGGTTCGCCAACGCCATCGGATCAAGGTACAAATTATTATCAAATGGTCAATTATTCATGTTACGATCTATGCATCACATTGGCCAACGATCCGAACAATCCAGCAACGGATAATTCCGCACTTCGTGCACTAAGATTAATATTATTGGTTCTATCCGGCTTTGCGCTATTGAAAGAACTTTTTCAAATCTTAACACAGCGCGAAAAGTATTTCCGACGGTTTTATATCAATTTAATCGAATTACATATGTATGTAAGTATCCTTTTGACTAGAACGAAGCTCTTTCATCGTGAGAAAGGAGATTTTCTAGGTCAGCGCAATAATCTACTCCGTTGATGTCAATGAATGTACACGTCAAACGGGTATTCGTTGTTCTGCTCAATGGATGGCTGGTGGCATTGGTTTGTTATCCGTGTGGACATCGTTATTATTAGTTGTGATGAATGGGATTAAATTCGGTAAACATGGTTTGTTATTTATAACTGTCTTTGTTACATTTCTGAAATTCATTGCCGTGTACTTCATGATATGGATTGGCTATATCTTGGCATTCTATATGCTTTGCAAAGATATTCTCGAGCAGTTTCGATTCTTTAATTTCATACCGAAACTGTTAGTCATGTTCATTGGAGAATACGATTTGGGAGGAACGTTTTTTCCCAATAATAAACTCATGCCCGGCGCTGAAGGTGCTTTGATACTTTACAGCGCATACATATTCACCATGTTTATTGTTATGATGAATATTATGGTAAGACGAATGAACATCGGATTTGTCTCTTGTTGACAGAGTTCTTTATTATAGGGTGGCTTGGCTGTTGCTGATGTCAAAGAGTATCGTTTGAATGCAAAACGGGAACATTTACGGGCGCGTATTGGTGTTGTACTAGGATTTCAAGCTCGATTAGGTGGATTTTGCGAAACCGTTGGTACAATCATTCGGCAGCTATCACGAAATCTTCGTTTTATGAGTGTTTGGGAAAAGCTGAATCTTATTCCATTGAAATATCATCTACGTCGATTGGAAATTCGTTCAAATCCTATCAATATTCCACATAATCTTAACCCAACGTACTTCTCTTCGTTGACACCTTTGACACGCCGTGACGGTGTGACTTTGCCTCAGTCGGTTTCCTCAACATCAACAGCAACTATGGGAGTATTTGAACAAGTGTATACGGAAACAGGATATTATTATCATCATGACACTACACGTGACGAAAGTCTTTTCAACGAAGAAGAAAATACACGTCTGATACGCAAGACTGAAGAAATCCGTGATGTTATCGAAGAGTCAGGTACGCGTACGTATAACGAAATGAGAAAAATGGCATTGAGCTTACAAAATGAACTGGAAGATATCAAACGAAGACTAACTCAACAATAATCTTGTCTGCAGATGTTATTAAATTTCGTTGTTTTTCATTTTAATCAGAACTTTGTATAATTGTTGATAGTAGACTCATTTCTATTGCGCTTTAAGAGGATTTTCTGTGTACTGCGTCACCGCATTTTTTGTTTTCTAAATATTTCATATACACTTACATATAATTACGACATATCAATGAAGTCATCTGAATTAGATAATGAGGAAAAATACTGAATGCCCTTGAACAAAATGTATTTTCGATGTTTTGTTTTTGCATACGTGTGCATTACTAAAGAAATACTTTCTCTACATTCTGTGCAACCATGCAGAACAAATGGATACTGTGTGACTATTTAAAGGCCAAAAAAAACTGAAAAAAATAATTAACGTTTATCTACATATTTATATTCAATTTGCAAAAATCCATTGAATAATCATTAAAATGGCCGAAAATCCTGGATATCCTGCTGGCTTTACTCCAAGTGAGAGACAGTTTTGCATCTCCTAATGAATCTTACCAGAGGATATGTCTAGTTTCTACAGGTTCAGGCGCTGTACATACCATCGGTACCAATCTACCGCCAGTAGATCCGAATAACTTCGCTGGTACCGTTCATTTTGGTCCAGCGACAACGACCCATTTTCCTGCAGGTAGCATTATCTTACCTGGCGGTGCTGTGTTACCACCAGGTGGACCACTACAATAAAGGATTCGTTGATGAAAGAAAATTGTCATGTTTTATTTTGTGATACAAATGATAAAATAAACTTTATTTCGATTGACAAAAATAAGTTTTGCACTGATTGATAATTACGAGGTTTAATAAATAACGTATATGATTATTAATTACGTGAATTATCTTGGAAACCATTTTAATGTGAAGGTAAGTTATTAATGAAACTAAATGCCCTAGTCATATTTTCATGTTATTCGTTTCCGATGATAGTCAGACGAGTCATTATCGACAATTTTATTCATATAGAGGTACCTATTATCAGTTCAGTATATAGAAACGACCTTTTTCATGCGTCAAAAAAGTGTCAATTCAAATTATACCGTATCTTAAGTTGAGAGTTCGCGAATGTTTGTTGATGGAACAGGCAGAGGTTGTGTTCGATATGTTGTTTGAGTTGTTGTTAAATTCGGTGACGTTGATTCGATGGAAGATGTGATAGGACTAAGTTGAGTGGATGATTTTTTCGGAGGTTGCGATTTCGATGTTTTCGCACTAGACTGAGTTGGTGTTGATGAAGATGAAGATGATGTTGAGAGGAGTGCGTCCTGTTCAATGGCACGGACAGTAGATGAATTAATTAACTGATCGATTTCACTGAGAAATTGTGTGAAAACTCCGATTGGTAAATGTAAACCATCGAACTGGAGCATTAGTTCTTCATTTAATTGACTGTACAATCGACTGGGTTTTGTCTGACATATTCGAAACAGTTTTATCAATCCATTTCCATTCATTAATTCACATATTGGCATCATATAATGAAGATTTGTGTCAAATAAAAAGTCTAAAACATCTTTTTGCGTCCATTGGTTCACCACTGTTATACGATAAGTCAGTTTTGTCATTTTACGTTTTGTATAAAAATCCGGTAGTTGTGGTTGTTCGATCGACTTAGTAACTACTACCGATGTTTCTTGTGATGCTTGATGAGGAACAGCTTTGCTTTGTTCATTGATTTGATTTCCACGTTGCAAAGTGATTTCCTTCAAAATCAATTCGCATGCCTTTTTAAAATCCATTCGACCGAAATCTACATAGATTCGACTACCAATGATTAAACCCAGCCATCCATCAGCACGATAACCTTGTCGAGCAATAATTGGTATCAGATTTCGTTTACATCGAAACGCGTATTCAGCTTCTGCTTGACAATAAACGCTACGTTTGTATGAATCGGACATACACAAAATAACAAATTCAGAGTTTTCAACTGCATCTGCCATGGCTTGCATCGCTAGAATGAGTAGGAACAAAAGTAATGAGAAGAAATCGTTCGAATGTAACTCACCTGGCCCGTAAATATTATCTCGGTCGACCCAAATTTTAAAACCTTGATCTGCTAAGAACTGATGAACTCGATAAACAAGTTCCTTATCAGCATGACAATATGAAATCATAATATCATATTGATAATCAACTTTTTTTGGTTGATCTTCTTTTTTGTCATCAGATTCAGTTATCTTCTTTTTAGTATTCGTTTTCTTTTCTCTTTCGGACTCTAAAATACAAGAAATGAATCTTATTTCGATTCTCATCGATTACCTTTGAAAAGATTCCAAAGAATCTTCTCTGCTGCTTTTCTAATTCCATCGCTTTCATCCTTCTGCATATCTTCAATCGATTTGATTACTTCTTCATCACCACGTAACATTCTTGCTGCCTCTTCATCGAATGTGATTGAACCGAGCGACTCGAGTACTAATCTTTTCGAACGATCGTTCAACTGTTGACAATGGTTAACCAGTAAATGTAGAGCATTTTGTTTTAAAATCTCACTTTTTATTTGATCGTGTTGAACGAGTGCTGAAGAGAAACAAATATAAACTAACAATCCTACCTTTAAACTTCACTTTACCTTGAATTGCTTCCATAAGCAAGGCAATATTTCTATTAGTAGATTCCTCGTCATTATCCATTACGGAAATCGATTGAATTTTCTTTCGTAACGTATCAAGTATTTTCGTAAGTAAACGACCGGAAGCTTTCTCCGATGCCTTTATATCATCTTCTTCCAGTGTATAAGATAACATGACATAAGCATGTAAAACAATCGATTCATTGCTCACGAATGCTAATGAACGAAAGATGGAAGTTATTTTAAGTTGTTTTAGGTAAATTAGAAGGTCGGGTTCGTGAGCGAAGATTGTTAATGTCTGCAGAGCAGAATGAATTAGTACTGTTTCGGGATTTGTGGACTTTTTGGAAATTTTTTCAATAAAAGTTAGTTCGGTAAGAATACGAATGATATGATCAATTAGCCATTTAATTGGTTGACCGTTGGCATAAGGTGTATAGTATCCTCGGACATGTGTTACTGTTAATAGCAGATGATGAATTGCGTGGATCATCGATGACTTCCATTCTTTAATCGATTGTATATGTTTATCTAATAATGATGCGTACCGTGGAATCATTGTCCCTAATAACTGATCGATGATATTCTTAGATTGTAAACCTGACAGAAATACCGAAAGTTTAGAAACAAAGATAAAAATGTCAAGTTTTACCTCGATACGAAGTTAAAAATGATGGACACTGAATAAGGAAGAACTTCTGCTCTCTTGTCATAGATTTGGCGTATGGTTTCAATTTTTTAAACACTCTTTCATAATTCGATGAAACTAAACAATTCATTGTTGCAATAAACAATCGGTAAAATTCATCTTTATCTTCTGCGTTCGAAGGCAGTCGTTCATAATAAACACCAAACATATTCAACAGTCGTGCTAGTTGTTTAAACATTTGTTGATTCTGATGCTTTGAAAGTAGCTGATCAATGTTGCTCATACATGTCGCTACGGACTCCACAAAAGATGAATCGATTAGCCATGATGTTAACTTACTGACGTCAGGAATAATATTTACAAGATCTTTGAAAAGCAAGACACCATTTCGAACAAAATCGATCTCTTCTTCGCTTAATTGCATCAACGAATGCCAATCGTCGAGAATATCTCGAAGAAGGTCGCGACTTGAAATATAAAATTCATGTGACGGAATAGTAACTAAGACTTCTAGAGGAATTTCATTTAATTGTTTGATAATTCTTGTCGTTTTTCTCACATAACGGCTCGTCCGTTTGTGTTGTTTATACGGCAATTTTCGCGCAGAGGAATCTAAGAAGTATTTGACATCATCTATGGTCCATTGTCTTTGACAGATTGACTTTGCTTGTGGAAAATAATCGTAATTATTTGAAGGCAGCATATTACCACGAAATATTCGTTTATACGAATATATTTTTCTGCTTACGTATGTATTTGAGCAGAAAATATCATTAACTTACACGTGATGACCTTCGATAACACACTATCAACATTGTATGTACACAACGATCTAATAGGTAAAAAATACATGTCATGAATAACAGCAGATGTACATTTTCTTTTCGTTTGGTTACGATTATTACTATTTTTTGCGAAAATGATAATTGTGCGATATTTTCCCCTTCAACGTAAACTGATTCATAGAAATATGAGTCAGCACAAGAGATTTGTGGTTAGTTTCTCTCAAGTAGAGGCGGTTTTATTATGATTTTCGAGATAAAACATTTTATTTTTCTGCTATATTAAGGAGTAAGCCATATGGAACAATGGATGGTCTTATCTCTGTATAATATTCGATTCTATCGTTGGGTATATGTGGACAGATGCGATTATTACCAGCACTGACAGTTTCACGTTGCACCGAAAAGGATTTTGGCTTTTGCCGACATTGCAAGACAATCAGAATTTCGTAGGACCGACGAGTTTTTGTCGAGTAGTATTGAACTCTCTCGCTGTAGTGTTTCAAACTAGAATATGCAATTGTTGGCGACGTATAAATATGATTTTTGCCGGGAATATGTCCCTCGCGAATTCCCAATATAGTTCCATCGAGCAACTTATCGCCAGGCAAACAAAACTGACGACTTTTTAGTATTGACAGTGCTGCTATTCGGCTCGTGCCATGAAAGGTAACAATCCAGTCGTCCCAGATGTTATTTTGTTCTTCGACCACCCGATCCACGTACAGACCAATACGTGCCCAGCCACGAGGAATAACATACTTAGCATTACCTGCCAACACAACATCGTCCTCCGACGAATCATAACATACGTCGCAATAGCACTGATCAAAGAATTCATCAAAATAAGACGATCCCCATTCAAGTGAAGCAACAAATTCCTTGGCTACTTTCATATAAGGACATTTTACTTTGCTTTTTCGTTGAGCATTGGATCCTTTTGTGGATGTCTTGCTCGATCGTACGCTTAGTTCGATATCGCTTTGCCGATAACTGTTACGGCCTGGTTGTGGCTCTTCAAATATAAAAACATGAAATAATTTTTTTTTTGGATAAATACAAATCAATTATCTATAGCTTTGGCTTTCTATCCGAGTTTGCTAATCGCCGGATTCACTTACTTCGTAAGTCTACTGGTTTTGCTTTTCGTTTGCAGTAGCAACAGATGGAAATGATTGCGATAACGATTATGATAGTACCGCATCCTATTGCAATCACTATTGGCAAATGTTCCTTCAATTCTGTCCATATATTTGTCGGAGATGCTTCTAAAATAATAAAGTTAGGTGCCATTACGGACTGTGAAATCATATGTTAATATACTTGAGGAAGTTGTTGACTCATAGATTGTTGTTGTCATTGGTTGTGTTACTTCAGGTTCTAAATGGGATATGACAAATTATGATATAGTGCTAGATGTTGCTAAATAGGAACTTGTCAATCTCTAGGGCAAATAGATGTGGCGTGGAACACCTTACCAACAGTTATTGTGTCATCTTGCATTGGTACTGTCTGCTGAATAGGAACGATGGAATTCAGCTGAGTTACATTTAACACAAATGATGTTGTTATTTGTATCAAACATAAAACACACACTAGTGTCTTCATTGTTACTTTTAAATCTGTAACGAATGCAAATTATTTATATAATCGATATTCTGACTGAAGGTACATCGAGCGAATAACATAGTATGTAGTCGATTCTTCGTGGATACCGTATTATCTTATAAAGTAGTATCACCTTTCTTTCACGCGAAAAACTCTCGAGATGTGGTCGTATCATTCGTTTTCTTTATAAGATACAGCCACATGCTTGTTAGCATGATAGATAAGATTTATCATATTTTTTCGTTTTTGTTTTCTCCATAACTTCTATGGATATCTAGTTGGAGATTTTTTTTCGGAGAAAAAGCAAGCCAACAAGAGCCAATCGCCATAACAATACCACTGATGGATTTTTATGATAGTACGTGGTTGTTCTGTTACTGTATTCTATGTAGACTCATAGTTTCTGATTGAGTTTTCTGCATACACTTTTAAGTGTCTTTATTTTGCTATAAAATCTATCTTCAATCTTTATATTTAGTTGAATATATATCTTTTCAGTAAATATTAAGTCTTTGGTTGACTCTCATAGCTTGCTTCCCGTTGACGAGCACGCAGCATGTCGATTGCTTCCTTGACCTAAACAGAATGAGACGAAAAATAAGACGTGTTATGTATTCGCTTGGCACAAACTTTCTCCTTTAGAGTAGCGTTGGATTTGATTAAGAGGAGCACATATTTTATATCGAATTCCAAAAACATTCCTGTAATTTTTGCTGCTAATTTTGGCTCAATTTGTTGAACAAGCACAAATAACCGTTCACCTAAGATTTGCTTTTGTTCTAATGGTGTCATACGACAAAGCATTCCTAACGTTAAAAGTTGTGTTCCAGGTACATTGATCGTTCTTAGATCATTTAGTGTGTTCTTAGCTGTTGCATTGTTTGCTTTCGAAGAAAGTGTAATTAAATGAATTGGCGACAGACTCTTGTCGTGTTCTAAATAAATTGTTGATGATGAGCTCGATAATTCCTCACGAAATCGATGCAACTGCGCTGTTAAATGATTTAAACTCATATCTACCATCGAATTTTGACTAACACTATTCTTCATATTGATTAGTAAATTGACAATATCATCGTGTCTTTTGTCGAGTAATCGTTGGAAATCACTGCGAGCTTGTTCGGCTGCTAATTGAATTTTACCTATCGAATGTCGTTCCCATTCATTGATAGCAGTGAAGATTGCATAGTGATCTGATTGAAATGAATCTTGAGCTGAATTATAAGTTGCGTTAGTTGCCATTCTTTAGTTTGTATGTATCCCACACAGTGTTCTTTGTTTTTTTTTCTACGAAGGTAAATATCAAGCGCCACGTTGTACTTTTCTCACCGAAAGAGAACAACGATTTACCTGTAATCGTGCGTAGTTTTGCTTGTCGCTCGATTTGTGCATTTGACAGAACAACATCACATATATAGTGTAGTTTTTTGTTAATGTTAAAATAAAGGAAAAAGTAATTCAGACACGGGTTATTATTCGGTGCAGTTTTATGCTTTCTGCGTCGACTTGATACTTGTTTTTTTCAAAGATTAATTCAATTGAAGATTACAAAATCATGTTTGTAAAGTAACATAGACAATATCTCAGGAGCCTCTCGGTGTGTCTAATTAATTGTTTGAACCGAGCACAGAAAAGCCTGCGTACACATGTTCTTGATAGTTAAGTGATTATAGGTACTTCTTTGTCTTTATCGAGTAGAAAAAATTAAGTTTCTGAATAAGTCTGGACATACTTTTCATTCGTTTTAGGTGATCGCCTAATGCCACAAGATGTGATACTGATTATTTATTAGGATAAATGAAGCTGACAGAGATATTATGAAGGAATTCACAATGTATCTATGTAGTAGTAGTATTAGGTTGGGGACGAAATAAAGTTCCAACAGGTATTATTCTATTGGGCAGCATTCTTCCTAGGAAAATATTCTTTAACTGTGGTGTCATCCATACCGTTCCTACACTCAAGATTGCCATCGTTACTTCAACATCGAGCCACATAGTACGATGGAATAATGGTTGCTCAAAGTTAGTGATCAATAAAATGAAGAAGAGAATTAAAGTTGGAAGGCCAAGTGTGAGTAGTATACCGACACTGACAATTATACGCTGCACTGCTACCAAATCTCGATTTTGTCGCTGTTTCACTATATTTGTCTGACGCGCCGAATGATTTCGAATGAACAAAGTGATTCGCGTGTAAATCATTAGCAAACAAACTATTGGTATTCCATAAGCATTAGAAGCAGACCACACAGTAGCACGAAAATTGGTAAATTCAAAGTAGCAGTAGTAATCGTTTGGTATATAAGTTATACCATGCCATATAACAACTGGAGACATGAAAAGAAAGCCTGCCGCTAACTGAATAGGAGTGATGATCAGATAAAACCAATATAGCTGAACTCGCCGGTAATTATGGTAGACAATGCGAAACAGCCGATACAATGCCTAGAAGTAAAGGTATCTATAGAGTCCTCTCATGAATATACCTATATTTGGAAAAGTAAATATAGAATAGTTGAAAAGTTTCAGAATCTGATTGGTATTGGCGTCTTCGCCAACTACTCACTTGGATAATGAAACTGCTATATGTAGCACAGCAAATTGATGCGATAGAATAGCCTTTGAGTATGCATAAAGATCTGTTAGTACTAAAATCGACTCCATACATATCCCCGATCAATGTTTGCGTGTTGTTTACAATGAGTATTGCCATGAACATCAGTATAAAAAAATAAATATTAGCTGAAAGCATTAAAGTAACTTTCTCTGTACGTTTCATTCCACGATGATAATGGTAAGAGTGATATGCTATACCAATAAGTACTATGCAACAAACAATCAAAGCAATTGAACCATGAACAAGAGATATAATACTGAGAATATAACCAATTAAACCACGACCATACTCAACCATTCTTGAAATAGGTTTTTTTCGCAATAGTCTAGAACAAAAAAATGAGCTCTTGATCCAAAAAGATTTGAATATAAGTGTAATATGCAGAGAAACTTTCCCTTTTATCACATAAGAAATACATAATAAATATATAATCATCTACTTTGCCAGGTACTGGAAAGTAATGTCATATTCTGCTTCGAATTACCTTCTGAAAGCCGCTAGAATAGATTACAATGAGCTTCTTTTTATTACATAAAATCATTTGACGCAGCAGGTGGTGTATCTTCAAGGATTAAACTGCATCCGCCACACGCCAAAAGTGACATGATTACTCCCATCGGCGGGCCAGAGGGGGGGGGGGGGGGGTTAACCCGGTTTAATAATATGAAA